GGGCTCCAAGAAAACTCCTGCTACTTGCCCTTGTTGTTACATGCCCTTGAAAAAGGTCCCTTTCCCTCCTTTCTGTAAGCTCCCTTTATGTACTACAAGGCTGCAGTGAGGTCACCTTGGAGCCTTCTCTTCTCCAGGCGGAACAACCCCAGCTCCCTTGGCTGGAGAGGTGCTCCAGCCCTCTGTTCAGCTTTGTGGCCTCCTTGGAACTCCAGTATGTCTACAGCCTTATGCTGGGGGCTTCAGAGATGGAAGTAGAGAGGGAAAATTAGTAAAATTCAAGCCATTTCTGACAGGAGGGAAGGAAAAAACCACTTGGTTTTCTTCGCCTTGAACTCCAGTGACTTCCTGGGAGAAAATGCAGGGGAGAGTCTGGCAGGAGGACACAGGTGGATGTGTGTCCTCTCCTCTTCATTGTGCAGTGGGGATCATTGAAACTGATGCAGCCTTTGTCCTGTTAAGGGATACAAAGCTACTCCAGCTTCTGCAGAACTGGAGCTTAATTTCAGAGTTCTGGATAAATGCATGGTCTTCTGACATCTCCTTCCTTGTTTGCTTCCACAGAACTGCAAATACTTGTGCCAGGCGAATTGTCTTTGGGAAATGCATTTCAGACTATCTGTGGGAAAGGATACAAAGTATTAAATGTCATATGGGTCACAGCAATAGATCTTCCAGTCTATGCTAAAGATCTGCTGAAAGATTCAGCAAATTCTGATCTTCCAGCATTTGGAGTCATCTTCTAATACTATTTGCATAGCACTGAAATTAAAGAACTGCATTTATGATTTCTCGGTTGAAGCAGACACATCACGCTTGACAGCAACAGAATTAAAAGTCGAAGCTCATTTGATTTTATTTACCTACACGAAATGCTTGATCATATTAAAGATGCAGTTTCCATCCAGGTAGAATTCTAACTTTGCTTTTAAGGTCTTGCTTATCTCCTTGTGAATTGCTGTCATTTAGGCTGAATTTTATATCTTCCTGCATGAGGGTAAATAAATGCCCAACAATTTTTCTTTGAAGCTGCCGGCATTTTATTTTTTTTTTCAGACCGGGAACTTCCCAGGACAGAACTTGATTCATCACCTGAGTTTAAGTATTTAACATGCTGATCAGATGCATTTTGTGGCACTCATGCTGGGCCACAGGAACACTGGTGAGAGGTCAGTCTTTTCTATGAGGGCACTTGTTAAGGATGAGACTAGTGCTGGACAGTGCAGGCAGGCACCCTTTGGAGCCACCCAGTCACCTCAACAGCCTCAGCAGGGGTGAAGCAACCTGGGCTTAACAGCCAGTACAGCCTCAGTTCCTGGGAGCAAGTATTAGGACAGTGTAGCAGTTTGCACTGCCAGGAAGCTTTGCATGCCTAGTCTGTTCTCCCTCCTCCCACTGCAGATGTCTGTGCCTGAATACCTGCACTCTAAATACTTGTATGTCTGTACTGAAGTCACACCTACTCACCACAGGCTGGGCACACGCAATGCACAGCCCTGGGATGTACCCACTTAGCCCTTTAGTCTCCCCTGCTACTTTCAGTCATGTGTCCCCATCTGTCTGTATCCACCCCTCACCCCAAGTTCAGAGAGTCCTGTGCTGCGTCTCCTCTTCCTCATTCTCCAGCTCTAAGAAGACAGCAGAGACAGAACCTGAAGGGCTAAAGCAGTGCCCTTGCTGGAAACCCCAGCAGCTGCACAACACAGTCCCCAGCAGAGCTTTGGGAGAGGAGCTGGGTGTCTCCGCTGCTCTTCCAGCTCCAGAGAGCTGCCAGCTCTGCCTCAGGCATTGTCAGCCTGTGAATTCAGACATTCAAAGGCAGCCCTTTTCTGCAGCACTCACACACAAACCACACAAAGGCATTCAAAATGGTTAGTGTGGCTCAGGCTTGGTTAAATAAACCTGTGTGGTGCCGGTGTGAAATGGCAATGAATACATCATTCTGCCAGCAGATGGCAATCAAAACAAGGAAATAGGATTATTGGTGATAAATAATTCCATGTGCAGCCAGGTGCATTTTATTCAAGGGAGCAATGCAGCTGCCACCCACTATGAGGGTGTACATGGCAGAAGGGTGGTGGTCCAAGAAGGGGCCAAGAAGAGCTGCTTGCATTAGGAAAAGCAGAGTAGAGAATGGAGTCCCTTCTCTCTCTTCCTCTTGGATGAGTTCCTAGGAAGATTTTATAAGAAACCCTCAACCACCCTTTTTTAAATCTGGAGATGGTAAACAATTGCAGTTCAGCTCTCTATGAGGGACATGTTCCTCATGGTTTCCCACACACAGGAGAAGAAATAACAGAGGTCTGGCAGGCTCATGGCTTACACAGGTAGGGAGGAAGCTGCAGCAGGCGGGCACAGAAGCAGACGAGGAGTTTCCAGGTCTAATAGGTGTTAGGCTCATGCTGGTAGGTGAAGCAGAAAAGCCTGGTAGAAGAAGGAAAAGGGTGGGCAGCTTCCACAGTGAAGATAGCTGTGTGAAAAAGATATTGGTAATCAAACCCTGCATTCATCCCTGGTTTCAGGCTGAGTCAGTAAGGGCACAAAAGGCAAATTTAGCCACAGTATACAAAAACATCTTGGTGAAATTACATAGAACATGCACCAGGTTCAACAGCCTTAATTCAATCAATTGAAACACACCTGGGAGTCCAGTTCTTGTGGTTCACACATCCCTAGAATAGACCTGGCACCCTTTTTTGCCATTAAGGCATCCTAAGGTAGGATGTGGACAGAGCAGATGGGCAGCAGGAAAGGAGGACCTATGAGACACAACAGTGACTAAGTTTTGCAGGTCCTGCTTTGATGAAGGTCAGTTTCCACATGAAGTCTGGTGAATTCATTGCTTTAGAAAGTCCAGAAACCCGGAGAAAGATGATATCTTGGAACCAGCGACAAGAGGGAAGTCTTTGGGTCGAACACATCATTAATAGCTGCTAGGAAGGCTGTCAACATCAGGACCCAGCTAGCAGGGATCAGGACAGGAGCAGACCCCGTGGGAGCACCACATTCAAAACACTAAGCTAGGTAGTGAAGCACTCTGTGCTTCACAGCTCATGACATCCCTGCAATGTTAAACCTTTGAAGAGGCTTGTAATTTAAATAAGCTTCCTGAGCAAGCTGGATGAGCTGTCTCTTCAGGTTTTGTCTTGCACATTAGAAGTGTGCTGAACACACTGCACACTGTTTGGCAAGGAGGCAGTGCACTGACCATCCCATCTCCTGCAGAGTACTTCTGCTGTCTTCCCACTCACCAGAACTGTGCACAAGGAAGCAAGCAGTGCAGTTCACTGACAGATAATGGCCATTAGTAAGTGAGGCCTTACCAAACGTGAGCCCCTGAACACCCCTACAAAGATAACTGCTTAATTTTTGGGTCTCCCAGCAGCATTATACACCAGAGAACATCACAGCCATTATTTCCTGTGTGCCCCCACCTTTGATTAGGAGCTGAAGCCATTCCAGGAGAACAGCCAGCAAGTTTCAGAGATTATAAGAGATGAAGTCTCTTACAAGTTCAAAGGGATCCTTCCAGTTCAAGTCTTCATCTACCTACATGCTCCATTTGCCCTTCTTCAGCAGTTTTTGCTCAAAAATCTGCCAGAAGTTCTCCTCTCACCCTCAGAACAGAGGCAGTGCTACGTCAAGGCAAATCATATTCTCTTCAGCTCTCCAGCATCCAGATCAGGTGTCTACAAGTACAGACTTGGAAAGCTTTGACTGCTGCAGGCTGCTCTGTGCCCCACAGTACTCACAGTGTTTCTGCTGCCTTTTTTTAATCTCCCATTGGCTCTTGCTGTTTTGTTTGTTCTGCTTGATACTGAATTTACGGCCATGCTATTTCTTTGTAACACTTTCTGCCTGGTGTAATTACATACTGATGTCTGCCAGCTTGACTCTTCAGGGTATCTATCTGCAGTGGAGTGTTGTCCCAGCTCAAGTCTTTCCAAATACACGTCAGAGTAGCTGGAGGCCTTGTATATGGCAAAGAAAGATGCGCTTGACTAATGTTATCCTTCTTTGATGCAGTGGTGAAGGACTGGAAGTAGGTATCAATGCATGTTTCAGCACCTTTGCACGTTAGGAGTAAACTGACTCACAGCAAAAGTGGCAGCATGTTCTGTACAGGATATAAGGAGAAGGATTATTCAGTGAGGTGCTGAAAGACCTATCTTAAGTTCATGTAAACTCAACAGACTATTCAAAGTAGTAGGCAAAATATGAAAAACATTAATCAATGGCAATGGCTTTTCCCTAACAGTGTTTGCTTTGCTTGCTAATACTTCTCTTTCCTGACCCATGCACATTCCACCCATCCTTCTTTGGTCACATCTGTCCACTCTCCTAGATCCTGTTTTCCACACTTCTCCTTGGGGAACCCCTGTGGTAATCCTATACTCTTGTGCTTTTAACTTTTAAAGAAACTTTCTCAGTGTCACTAAGTGACTTGTTCCCAACTATGAGAGATTCTGCTTGTCCATCCTAGTTTGAGAGCAGGGAGCCAAAAGATGCTTCTGAGCACCTTGCTAGTATTCTCCCAGCAGCAACTCACCCTTTGCCATCCAGTATTCCCCCAGATTTCTGAGATCTGCAGTCCTTCATCACCATATCTCACTCCCCCATCATCTCTACAGGCTGCTCATTCCTCCCTCCTGCCTCAGGCTTGTCCCCTTGCTCTTGCTCCCCTTCCCTTTGATCACTGCCAAACACGTAGGCAAGAGCTTCCCCTGGGCAGCAGAACAGCACCACATCAGGTCCTGTGCAAGAACCCCAAAACCCAGCACAGGCAGTCTGGAAAACTGAGCTGCCAAATCCCAGAGAACACTGCAGGGACACCCCTCCAACAGAAGAGACACTTCTGAAGAGCCACTTGGTTCCCAACAGGTTCAGCCACCTTGAACACACTAATGAGAACCATTTCTCTAATATATGCATATTGTTCTGAAAGGGGCAGTGGAAATGCTTTGGGTGTTCTCTCTTGCTAAAGAAGGAAACATACAAAGTCATTTTGCTTGTTTTAATTGATCACTGGTTAGGTTGTAATACATTTCAAAGCAAAATATTCTGTTCAAGGACATTGTAACCAAACATTAAATCTACTTTTAAACAAGGCTTAATTTGACTATATTACCTTTATATACATACAGGTATAATTTTCATTTCACTAGTAGCAAAATTACACAATACAATTGCATTTCATGAAAGATAGCAAAAGAAAAAGGACTGGAGTGTCTGTTCTGTCCTTCCACACACCCCAAACCAGAAAAAAACCACAAGTATAGAAAGTACAATCACAACTACAGATAAATACAATAAGGATCTCAGAGCAAGCTAAGACCTTATCAGAGAAGACAATCACTTCTAGAAATCTACGTTGCAAATATACAGTACATTCCACTAAAGAGTTTTGGGAGTTCTCACGATGCCTCTTAATCCCCTTTTGGTAATAAAAGCTTCTATGACAACATGTATCCTTCATAAAAAATAACTGAATTTGTGTTTTTGGAGTGTATGTTGGAAGCTTAATGAAGTCTAAACTGCAGCCCACAGCAAGCTCACCCAAACAGAGAGCGAGCAAGCAAGCATTGCAAGATTGATCAAGGGCAGAAGCACAGCTCAGCTCCCTGTCACTAGTAGCTTGAACTGCTCTGCACCAGGGACAGACTTGAAGGGTGGGAAATGATACATTCCTTTCACAGCTTCGCAGGTCAATCGCCTGGAAGTTCCTGACAGAAAATGTCAAATGACTCATACAAGGTTAATTTGAACTTCTTTACAGAGCAGACGTTACATTGCAATTGTTAAGACAATTAAGGACACAGCTAAGGGGCAACAAAGTTCCCACATTTATCCCATCCCTGAAACGATCCTGTGAACAGCAGAGAATGCAGTGGCCAACTACTATGCAAACACACTGGCACTGCTGGGGAAACTGGTCTGGCCTTGGGAGGTGGGATGGTGCATGTAACCCAGCAGTCCCAGAGGGCAGATGAGATTTCAGCTGCACTCAAACTCTGCTTTGGTTTGTGCAGAATACTCTTCTTGTGCCAATGCAAGCTTTGAGATGTAGCCTGCATTCAGAAAGGAACTATTGCTCTGTGCTTGGCAAGACATTGGAGGAACTCTCTCGAATTATCAAGAAAATGGAGGTAAACAAGGCATTTTTTTGAGCACTAGTTACCCTCACAAGTGCAACACCAAGGACCTTGCCATTGTTCCAAGGAAATGTACTCCATCGGCACTGTTGTAGGTTTTCCATGTTTTTGCTGAAGGAAACTACCACTGATCCACAAAATATCTGAACTTGACCCAACTAAGTGCAGAGGACCTTTTCCTTCCAGGCTTTATGTCTAACTGACCACTAACACTCTTCACTGCTCTTAAGGAACTCTGACAGCACTAGGAAACACCAAACAGGCATGCCAAGGTTGAAGACACCAAATGACTTCCTCCAACATGGTCAAAATACATCACTCACCTCCATTAGGCAGGTTCCAGTCACGCACACTCTTAACACCAATTTTTCTTCACAGATCTCTATTTTAAAAAGTTATGCCTGACTCTCCAGATCTAACAGCAATGTAACGAGCAATTTAATTAAAAAAAGAACTAGTGGAAACCTGCCCTATCATTTTAGAAACGTTGCTTTATAGAAACTTCTGAGGAAAAAAAAAAAAAGGAAAGCCAGACTTGCTACTGCCACATGCTACAGTCAGTCAGCAGCACTCTAAAACAGCTGGAAAAGCAGGCTACAAAACAGGTTTTCTCTACTAATCTAGACCTGTCTTTAGCAGAGGTAGGTAGGAGTAGGTCAATGAAGAGAGAATTAGAAAACAGTATTTCAGATGTAGTTTAGAGCCTGGCTGTTCTTCCCTACTCTTCCTTTAATCTCTGTTGCTTTGTTTTTCTTTGTTGTTGCAATAACCATGTCAACCTACTCATTTTTTAAAAACTGGACCCTGGTAGGCTGCAACAGATGCATGGCATTAGTCAGTGGTTGCTACCAGAGAGAGGAGTGACCAGCGTGGGTGAGAAGGCACCACGATTTGCTGGAAGAGACAAGGAGGTTTCTTCACCGCAGCATTTCAAGTGCCGTGTGCGAAGCCTGGCAGGCTCAGGTATTAACCCACCGGCACAACTCAGTCACCTCAGTCTCAAACTTTGCTGCTGGCAGATGCAGATATAAAAATTTCAGCTTTCAGGGCACGGCTTCAACACTTCAGAACTCAACTGCGCAATGAATAATAAGCATGAATTGAAAATACACATTTTAAGCAAAGAGAGAATCCAGCCAAGTCTCTGATGAACCATTTTTTCTGTAGCCTGTTCTAAAAGCCTTTCAGGTTGTGGACACTAAGAATATGGCCACAGTGAAATGTGTTTGTAATCATTTCAGTGCAGTCCTATTCCAAACAGCAGACAGACAATAAACAACAAAGTACAGAGTATGCAAAAGATTGAAAAGCTCTTATTCCCAGATTTTCTACCATTTTTTATTGCTGTTTTAAGATTAATTCAAACAGAATTGCTAGACTTTTCTTCCAAATGACCCTCTCCTTTAAAAGCAACATTAAGACTTCATATATGTTTATACGAAATGTACTCTGATTTCCCTTTTCCAGGTTCCTGTAACTAAAAAATTCTATATATAAGCCTAACGCTAAGAAACACCTTTAGTGGTCCTCATGCTGCTTTGTGTTCCACAGAAAACAAAACTTCAGTTTATTATGTTCATAGTCATCATTTGAATTTTTATTTTTTTCTTTTTAATTTTCAACTTATAGTTTGCTTACAGAGCCTTACTGAAATCCCCATTTTTTGCATTCTTGTATGCAACACAGCTAAATGACAGTCACCTAAAAGAGAAAAAAAACCCAAACCTGTCTGAAATAGTTTCAATATCAGGATTCAAAGGCTTATCAAACTGAGCATCTCCCAGAATCTTAGCAGCAAAATTCAACTACACAGAAAGGAGCAGGACAGAGCAAATCAGCCCGTTCCCCCACTGAGAACCAGAGATGACTAAGCCATCTCTGTTGAGTTGAGCTCAGTAAGTTAAGCTGCTCTGTCAACCCAACTGAAAGTTTGGTAATTATCAAACAGCTCTTGCAAGAACCAAAGTTCATGATTTTCCGTAATCTTAAAAAGAGAGGATCAATTTCAAGAGATCTTCAGTTCTAGATAAGACCATTCATGCTTCCCTGCTCGCTTAAAATCACATCTAAGGTTCTTCTCTGAGGAAAATTTTGCTAGCAAGAGTAGAGAAATAAAAGCAGATTAATGTAGACATCATCCAGAAAAGGTATTTTCCTCCCAGTTCTCAGGTTTTAACTTTTTAAACACCTATTTCAAGAAAAGAGCAATTAAAAATGTGTGCCTCAAAATTAAGCCTCCTGTATGTGCAAACATGGGGTTTTTTTAAGTCCTTCCTTACTCAAAGCAGCTCCCTCAGAAATGCTTTCTCTCTCAACTGTATTTAGGACTGCAGTCAAAGACATTATATATTTGTATATGTTTTTTTAAACCTATTATTAGATAGCATTTGTCCTAGAACTGTAAAGAGCCGCGCAGGTCTCCCACAAACCTATCCTACCACCAGAAGCCTTTAATTTCCATGGATGCAAAACACATACACAAAGAGCTAATGAATTGTCCCAAGGAAAAAAGATTAACTCTTACTTTAAATCAGACAGTAAGTTCTATCCTTTAATGAAGAAATCTACTGAGACTTAAGACTGCTTCAAAGCAGGAACTGAAATACAACTGCAGCTATGAATAATATACAAACTTTTTGATCCATAACTAATCCTAGCTTCATCTTTAAAAAAAATTTAAAAAAAATCACAGCAGCTGAATATATATGCAAATATACACAAACCCCTTGACCAGAGGTTAATAAGTAACTGTGTTGGATCAGAGCTTAGAGACCATAAATTGCAACCTGGGTTCACACATCTCTAACCCATCAGCTCTTGGGCTGGTGTGGAAGTGGAAAATCTCATCCCACACACTGTTTAGGTGACATTAAAATCTCGTGTTTTCTGTTCAGATATTACTCAGCAGAACAGTTACCTCTGATAATGATACAGTCTCCCTCTCATATAAAAAGGCAAGATGGTCAAAATATCCCCTTGAATGCCCAACTGTACTGAATCAAGAGACTGCTGCAAGGATTTAATGCTCCAACACTAATTTTCAATATTTTCAAACTTGATATGAAAACTGCACTTTTTATTACACAGAGTATAACAGTCATTGGTCATTTGCATTCATCCACCCCAGCACTAGTGCAGAAGTGCCTTCTGAACAGGGATGAGAAAACAGGGCAAGTTTTGTTACCAAGTTGTGTTTCTACTCATCTTGCACTAAGCAGTGCATGGAAGGTAGGTGAGCAGAAATGCAACAAATATACCCCATGTTTTCACATACACGGATGCCATGCCTATCTCAAAAACACAGAAGTTCAGACATGCAGCAAAACGTGTTAAAGCACTTTAAATGCTCTCCAGATGACAATGAGTAATGTAATACTCACTCAGACAACTCAAAGCACAGTAAAACATTTGAGCTTACACTTCAAGTTTCAGAATAAAATTATCTCTATCAGAGTATCTGAAGTGCAACGAAAGGAACGTTCCATGAAATCAGAAGCAAGAGACACCATTTAAAGAACCAGGAAAATACGCACAGGTCAGATTACCACCTTATAATAAATAATAAAACAGCAGGAACATGCAGACCTTAAAGTCAAAATTTGTTTCTAGATTCATGATATGTAAAAAAACAACAACAACAACAAAAAAAAAAGTAAAAATCAAGAACAACCCTGTCTGATTTCCCCACATCTGAGGTCTTTTTGGCTAAACAACTGTTACTTTGTTGTAAGGAACACAGGTATTGCCAGAAAACATTATTTACAGAATGATTATCAGATTGATTACATAAAATAGAGATGAAAATATACACCCTTAGGTTTGAGATAAGCCAAGCAAATTCACTGCTGCTAACTACAGCACTTTGAAGAAGGCGACAGGCACCAAATATCAAAGTTGAATCACAAAACTACTTGAAGGAACAGACAAGTTTGGGAAGGTAGAGGTACAGCAAAGATCAATGAAGTTGGAATGGTTTATAATTCATCCTAATATACCAGAAATTATTTAGCTTCATTAAAACTCTATTTCTCATATATAAAACTGAAGAGAAATCTTTACTCCCAGACTGTGATTTCTACAGGTACTGAGCAGCTTTTTTCTTAGTGGATCTATGTAATGCTTTGTACTCTACATCTTACAAAATACATCCCCACGTTTAAGTGCATGACTAGAAACTGCGCTGAAATCATGGAAAAAGCGCTTCATAAACCATAGGCGCAATAAAGTCACAACAATGCTCAGCTCCAGTTTCTGGAAGCAGTTCTGTGAGAGGTGAAGTTTTAGAAAAGGGACTTCGATCCCTGGTTTTCAAACTCTGACCACGCGTCGTTCAACTCCATGAAGATCATTTTGGCATACTGCTCATAAGGCTGTCCCGTGGCCTGAAGACAAACAGAACACATAATAAGCATAAAAATATTAGGAATTAGGTGACTTAGAAAAGATCTCACTCCTTTTATATTTGTCCTCTTATTCAACAACTTCAGACTGATTTGTGAACATAATTTTGCAGACACGTAACTCTCTCCAACCTCATCCAAAGCTTGCCACAAGTATTCTAAACAAAACCAAGCCCTTGGATTCCTTAAATCATCTTCAAGCTTACAGTGCAATTCATAAATAACTGAAACTTAGCTAAAAACAGTTTTCAAAGCTCTTTCCATAAAAAGTTTTAGTTATTATCACTTAACCAATCAAATAAGTAACTTCTGCATTTGCTTCCTGAGACAGCTTGCAGTAGTGCACAAGGATAAAATCTGAGTACTTTTTAAGACAACTCCTTCTGAATGGGATTTTTTGGAGTAAAATCTGTTGCTGGTTGTCACTGATGTTAAGATTCATGCAATTCATGTAACACAAATTACATTGCACTTCCTGTGTGTTTCCTTCCACACTCAAAGACAGTATTGATCACGCTTCCCTGCCTATTTCACAGCAGCCCTGACTCTGGGTCAACACAACCCAACCCTTGTGGTTCATAGAGATCCAGTCCCAAAACAGGAATTATTTTACCAGGTTCTTTCCAACACAAAAGGGAAGCTTCAGAGCCCTTTCCAGTATCCTTCCCCTTCTCCTGCTGCTTACCTCTTGCCAGCTGCAGTACTGTATTGACTCTTTTAGAGGGTGCTTTAATGGATAAGTGGCAGAAAAAAATAAGTGAGAAAGAAGACTGTGCCTCAAAGAGAGCGGTGTTCTGACACTGATGAACTGAGGAGCCTCCAGAAAACACCAAAAAAACATCACAAGGGTGAGAGAAGCCACATAGTCAAAAATACTGAAGGACAGGGGGGAGAAAAAACCCAAAGAGTGTGTTGGTTTTTTCTGTTATGGACACAAGACGACACAGAATTGAGACAATTGCTCACTGAACCACCAGTGACAGCAAGCCTGAAAATTCAAACCAGGTATATTCAGTGCTTATCTTTGTATCTAAAATACAACTCAGAGCAATAGCTCAGAACAAGAAGGTACCTTCATACACTGGAAGACTAACAAACCATGGAATGCATTAAATATTTTAAAAAGACTACTGGAATATCGCACTTATCACATACTTTTCATCTGATCATTTGTTTACTAAAGTTTACTTTTTCTAGTAAAAATTGTTCAGTAAACAAGGTTCAGCAGGTTTTTCCTAATGGTTTTGCTATGGCAGCCTCTGAGTCTCCATTTATAGGTGCATAGTCCTAAAAGACCTGAAATATCAGCTCATGGAAACAAGGCAGATTCCACTAACCAGCACTAAACCTGCCTGCAGTGAGAATCCAGCATAACTGACTTTGGTGCTCAGTACATCTTTCATAGGATGTTTCATTTATTAATGCTTACCTGTTGAATTCTGTTCTGTGTCAGGACAACAAGAAAAATCCCAGACTACCTGAATGCAGCAGGACACCACATTCAGAAGACAACAGAAGCAAAGTGAAGAGCACCTAGAGTGCTGATCAAGAAGCAGGGCATTTTCCAGTGACTAGTACAGTGTGGTAAAAGCAGTTTGTATTCCTTCTAAAATAAAGAAGATCAGAGGACCACACTCACCTTATCTGGATGAACTACAAGGACTGCTTTCCTGTAGTACTTCTTTACTTGTTCAGGAGTTACTAAATCTGCCATGCTGACTGGTTTCCACTTAGTTTCCCCTTCCCAAAGCACTGTATGAAGAGTGGATATTAATGCTCTGATATTTCTCTCCTTTCCTTCAATCCATTCAAGAATCTGGGAAAATCAGAATATACAGAACTGAATGCAGCACTGTAAGGATTCTCAGTCTATCTACAGACATAATCCTCATTCTGTGCACAATTACAATTTTAAGACTCAAGCACAGTTGTCTTAGTGCACCCACTCCCCAAGTTCAACTGTTTTAGCCACCTGAAAGTGAAACTTTTCATCTACCACTCAGGAATAGTTCACTGTTATTAGTTTACCGCAGAAATTCAGTCATTGCAAGAGATATTACTGAGATAGTTACATATTACAAACCTCTGTAAAAACAATGACAAGGGAATTGTCAGGAGTAATTAAAAGCATCTGTTACAATTAGATATTACATTCAAATTACATTACTCTTGTCCCCATTGGGGCACAAGGTTAATTTACTAAAATTCTTACCTGATTTGTAAAAAAGCATAAGTGCACAAGCATTGTACAAAAGATCATGTATATTAATAGTCAATGTTTACTTAAGCAACTGGCAGAGGAGCACAAACTAAAGTGTTCTTTGAGATATCCCTGACAAAGTTATTCTGATAACTGGCCATTTCCAACTTTAACAGCAATATTCAAGCCACTTATATAGTGATAGTGTTTTCATTGAATGCTTATGTAATATGACAATCTCTGCCATCAACAATGAGTATGGTAAATAAAAATCTGTATTTATTTCCACTTGCAGTGATTGGTGTTAAAAGGTAACCACACAAACTGTGCACTCCCTTTTCAGAGCACCCCTCCAAGGTTCTTCTACAAACTTTTCTAAAACACCATAAAGGCTACGAAACTGAAAGTACATTATTATGCAGTGTTATCAATGAGTAACACATAAAAAAAAAAATCTGAACAGCTCATCAGGTAACACCTCCCAAATTAGTTATATAGCTTATTTCCAGAATTGCACCTCCTAGTAATTTCTTAGGACAGCAGCAGCACTTGTTAACCAGTAAATGCAAGTATGTGGTCACCCTGAAGACAGCTATTCTCAACTGCCTTTTTTTTAAAGCATGGTTTTGTATTATCAGTTAAATCTATCTTTTCCCAGGAGACCTATGGGAACACTACAGATAAACAGTAGTTCTAGCTTGGAAAAATGGGAGTTTGAGAAGAAAACTCGTTCTTTAATTCTCCAAGTTTAGTTGAAGGAAACAGAAATTTGCATTCCATCCATACATTTTTGTGCTATTATCACTGCTACTTCATTGCTAACTGACGCTTGTTCCTGCTAATTGTTCTAGAGTCACATGATTTAAATTAAGATAAAATTTCGTTCTATTTTATCGGAATGGGATAGAGCTAATTTTTTCCCTAGTAGCTGGTGCTGTGTTTTGGCTTTAGTATGATAATAATGCTGACAGCAGCAACTAAAACATTGGTGTGTTATGTGGTGCTTCCCCTGAGTCAGAGGCTTTTCAGTTTTCCATGTTCTGCCAGTGAGCACAAGAAGCTGGGAGGGAGCTCAGTCAGGACAGCTGTCCCAAACGGGCCAGAGAGATATTCCATATCACAGAACATCACACCCAGTACACAGACTGGGGGAGTCAACTGTGGGCTGTCCATTGCTGCTCGGGGACAGGCTCGGCACTGATCAGCAGGTGGTGAGGAATTGTACTGTGCATCACTAGTGTCTCTTGGGCTTTATTCTTCTCTCTCTCTTAAATTATTATTGTTATTATTCCAACCCAGTCCAGTCTATTATTTTACTTTATCTCAGTTATTAAACCATTTTTATCTCAACATGCAAGTTTTAGCTTTTTAATCGATCCTCCTCCCTATCCCACCTCAGTGGGTAGAAGGCAAGTGGCTGCATTTAACCATCTGGGGTTAAACCCATGGCCATTAGTTTCTCTGTTAGTCATTGTATCCTTCTGCTAAGATCAGATTTTCACTTAAATCAAAATCACTGTTAAACAAACCTTGAGCTTCAAGGGGTCCATATCTTTAGACATTTCTTGTTTTCTCATCTCAGCAATAGTCTTTGGTCCCTTTTTATCAGATTTCGCTGAAAATCCTTGATTAGATAAGAGATCCTCAAAGTCATTTTCTGAAACTTTTGGCTTTTGACCTATGGAAGGAGAAGAACATTAAATAAAAAGTTACATAGGAGAATACGTTAATGGGGGAAATATATGGCACTCAGAAACACACTCCTGGCACGAATCACTACCATGATAAACATTCTTCAGTGATGTGATAAATTCCACAAGACTAATAGAAGGACAAGAATAAAAGAGATCACTGACAAGCTTTCAGTCCAACAGAACAGACAAGCTCACGTGCATCCATCTGACTGCACACTTGCATGCCCTCTTTTTTTAAAAATGGGAGTAGACTTGAGGGAGCACACATCTCTCTGTTCATGGTTTTGGAAATGGTTCCATTTTTCCACTGTAAGTTAATTCTAATGGCTATGCAGCAGTTTTTCAACTGCTCTAGTTAGAAGTATGTAGTCAACATCTAAGTGTTGAAACTTATACAGTATAATGAAGAGATAAAATACTAACAGGAATATTCATTATAGAACCAACACATTTCAGAGAACTGTAGAATAACTGAATTCTGAAGAGGCCTCTGGATGTTATCTAGTCCAATTTTCACTCAAAACAGGGACAACTCAGTTCATTTCTCAGGTCTCTGACCAGTTGACATCCATCTGTTTTCAAGGGAGAGGAACTACAACATCCCATTTCAGCACTTCATCATGCTAATTCTTTTTTTTTGCCTTGTTCTACAGACTTCCACATGCTCCAACTCATGCCCACTGCCTCTCCATCCTGTCACTTCTTTCCAGACACAGATCAACAGAATCATTTCAACATAAAGTGTCTGTTGTTCATTTATATGCCAGCTAAAGGGAGGCATAATCCTAATACCAACATGCCAGGAAAATAATATTTTCCAAGAAAGTTGATGTAGAAGAGACCATGCCCATCCCTATAACTCTACGTTTGCCTATTCAGTTGGAGCATCTTAAATTACTCCCAGTATGATTCCATCTGGTCCTGCCTCCAAATCTGTTTGAAACCCAAGAATTTCCAGTAAGTTTAGCCTCAAACTTTCTCAAGAGTAGGTACTAATTTTTAGTTTGGAATAACGTTGCATCCCTTTCCCTGTATCACAAACGGACTAACATGAAACATTATCAACCATCTCTCCCCAGACAGATCAAATTTACCTTTCTAAACCCAGTGATACAAAAAGGAGGACACCAGATTCACCAAGAACTTCTGTTTTTCTGTTTTCTACTACATACAACCTAAATGTAAATAAAAATATGGAGCTACAAGAGCTTCTGCAGGCAACAGTGCACCCAGCTAACTTCATATGGGCCACTGTAAGTAATACATTCAGAAAACTTACCGAAGCTTGGGGTTCTGACTCCTCTTTCTTCTCGTCCTCCAATAACACTGAAGTTTACTGTGTAGTTGGGCTTAGGTGCTGTGCTGGATTTAGTCTGAGACTGCCATGAAGTACTTGGTGGTTTTGGGGATTTCTGCCACTGATTTCCCAGCTTCTGAGATGGAGCAGTCTTCTGACTAAATCCACTACCCAAGAGTCCACCACTGGAGGAACCTAAAAATAAATGCTAAGTTAGTTGTTCAGTTTAATACAAGTAAAACAGTTTAGTCTTGACATATAACCACGGAGCTCACAGTGATGCCACGATACATGAGAAAACGTAACAGAAAAGTGTGAGTAAAATGAAGTTAGAAGAGTCTCATTAACAACTAACTTGAACAGCAGGAACTAGAGACTGAAAGTCTTCCAGCCTCTTACAACTCAAGTTCTCAATTGTCAGTTTCAGCAGAAGCACCCACTCTTGTCTGATGGGTCAGGCATGTGTCAGACCAGAAGATAATTTGGCTGTGACAGTAGTTATGCCTCCCAATGTTTGTTAATATGCAGAGGACAATGAATAACTAAGCACATGATCAAAGAAAGTAAGCATATTGAGAATATTCATTTTCAAATGAATGCTTTCAAAAGTCTCTAGTGATTTCTTGCACTACTGTTTAGGAAAGATGAGAACGTTATTCTACAGCGGCATTCACAAGGAATATCACATGAGCTAAAAAAGCACTGCAGGAGATACTGCTGTAATCATCCCAGTGTGGTACAGCCCAAGCTTCTCTGGGTATACACAGCAATGTAAACTCAGTTTGCTCTTTCAAAGCTGTTTCCTCACACTTCAGCTCTCTTGACTGCTCTCTTTTGTAGCTGCTGCTTATAGTTATAACTTGCACAACAGGATGTCTTCCCCTGGGCCATGTACAAGATACCTTACTACAGCTTTAAATACCACACCTGATACAACTTAGTATTCAATACAACACCTGATATAATCTAGGAATATACTGTTTTTGTCAGGAAAGCACTCAACTGCAGTCAACTCAGTTTTCGGCTACTTATAACTTGTGAAATTCACAAAAAAATCTGTTACTAGTCAGAGTACATGACCCCGCACTCTGAAAAATTATCTCTTTCTACTATTCTTTCAAAGCATTCTACATTCATTATTCCAGTCTTCAAGGCTACCAAATTCATCCTGTAGGGCAAGTCAGTGCCTCATTACCCACAGAAAGTTTTCAAACACCACACTCCCACTTCCTTATACAAGACCATTCCCAGGAAAGAAGAGAGTGATGACACCAACTACCACAGAACAGAATTGGTATCCTACCACTACTCTAATACAGTACTTTTAACTACCTTTAGCTATTGCCTCTTTTGGTTTTATATAGCATTCACATGTAAGCAGCTTGCACTCTCATAAATTCTCTTCCAGAATAACGATTTGTATGCGGACTCCAAAAAACTCCCATGAAAGAAACAACACTCAGTCTGAATTCCAGTTCTTATAATGCCTTGAAAATTCATTTCAAGTCTGAGAAGGTTAACTAGGATAGTGACATTTGACTACTTTTTAATGCAGTCATTTTTCCTGTTGAAAGGTAACTGAAAGACTAATGAATTGATCTAAGTCCTACTAAAATCAGTTCCATTTCTTCCACTGGATTCAGTGTGTGCTATACCTGCATCTTTGAGTCAAAGAAAAATTGATTTTTTTTTTACTGTCACACGATCTGTAGATTTAACAAGTCTGTTAATTATTAAAGTAGAAAATTTTTGTAATTTGTTTACTCCCAACCAGCCTCTCCTTCAACATCAGAATTCTGCAAGTGATTATGCACAAGCAACATAAAGAAGTCAAACACTGCACGTTACCTTGTGCTTCTAGAAGATAATTCCACTGGCACTCAAGTCAACACACAACGTTAACTGCCAGGGCAGCAGAGTAAAAACCTCCATCAGCAACAAGCTAAGGGAAAAACATGTTTCTGCAATTCAGCAACACTAGGTTGTTCTGAATCCTTCCTTGTACTCTTGGCAGCTGGTCACATTTATGGTAGTGTGGGTACTGAAATGAAAGGACCTCAGCTCCTTTTGCTGCCCTTCATTTTCTCACTGTTCGAGAATGCTGCAGAGCCAATTCCTGAATTTCAGGTGAATATAACATCCTGGAACAAGTGTAACTCCGTGTTGTGTCTTACCTTCCATAACTCCTTGTGCCCACCACTGCAAACTGACAAACGTTCCTAATGCTTTTGGCACTCATGCACATGTATGGGCGTGATTTGTGCTCATCTTACAAACCTGGTGTGAGCAGCAGAGCCATGAAGGTCTACTGAATTCAAAGAAAAGTACGGAATTAACAGGAAAACAACCGTCACTTTGGAACTAACAAATTTAACTAATTTAATCCAGCTTTCATTTTATATCCTTCAAGCACAGTACTAATCAATGCTAGGTAAGAAACCTCAGGTTCAGTTACTGAATTAGCACCCTCTGTTTTCTCTTACCATCTCAACGAGATTCTGAAGCATTAAGTATTTTCCACTGTTTCTATACCACAGCTGTGGTTTCTTCTGAAATATTATTTTGGATGTTTCACACAATATCTGTAAAATTCAATCTTTTCTTGTTACTCATCAGCTCTCTGCAATTGCCTCAAGCTGGTTGTTAACAATGAAAGGGAAACACTTTCCTTATAGGCTATCAGTAACATTTGTTAGTACAAGAAGCAAATAAAAAAAGTAGGGGCATTAAGCATAGTCTCTCAAAAGTAAGATCTTACCTGGAAGACCAGATCCAAGATTGGCAAGATCAGCAAAAGGATCTAAGTTCTGAGATTTCGCCTGGCTGAAAGACAGACCTGAAGACACACTGGACTGGCTCCCTGTGGTAAAAGCTTGACCTGTATAATAAGAAGATGTATGATGTACATGGTCTATTTGGAAATTGAGAGAATGAATAAAAGCACTATTTCCAGAACACCTTGAGCAAACCTCCCCTACATTCTGCTTCATGACACCTTTTACCAAGAATCACAATTACTATATAGAATTGAAACTATTTGATCCCTCTGTCTTGAACTTAAATCTGAAAAACTACGTGAGTGCCTTATTAAAGCATCATTCAAGCAACATAGCAAAAATGCATGAAGATGTGTTCAGCAGTGTCAAGTGATTAAAATGACCAAGTCTGGAGTATTCCTTATTCCCTCTAATGGAAAAATTTAATTCTATAATACCTTCACTAACAGGCTTCAGCTGTGGTGACGCTACATTACTGCTTGTTGAGGAATCTGCCCAAGAATCCCATCCGCTTAAGAGATCCGGGTGGCTTGTAGATGATGATATTTTAGGTGGCTCTGGTGCCAAATTCCCTACAGAAGAAAAATGAAATCTTATTTTTTTTTAAGAAAACCATCACGATAATGGATATTTTGCTAATACCAACAGAAAGGGTACCACACCGTCTACTACAATGATCAATTACATAGCTTGTTTAAATTTCTCAGTAACGCATTTATGCAGTCAAACAGGACTCAGAAGGGTTTTATCACTGGAATTCCTTCATGTATATTTAAAACACTCCCCACACTTCATAGGTAAGATATTTTCATGCACAGGCAATGCTATGAATTTAACAGCTTAGGTCTCCTGGGCAAAAGACTAAGGCTAGAAAGCCAGTGGTACTTCATGAATGGTGTTCTTCATCACTCAGCAGCCTGGGTCCTACACAGGTGGAGCCAGGTCACTTCAAACTGCAGGTTTGCCTAACCCCAGCCTGTTGTGACAAAGGGAGCTCTTGACCAACTAATTGCCCTCTCAGATGCAACACATCAATGAACCCACACAATTAATAAGAGGAAGGCTGATCTCTTCTGGGAAAAGACTGAGAATCAACAGCTCCATGGTTAAAAGCCAGTTTTCTATATGTGAAACAAAACCACCATGGCATCTAAAAACAGGCAACAAAAAAGTCACATTCAAAAGGATGCAAGGGTGCTTCCACTAACTCCTAGAAAGTGTTGCATCCAGCAGAAGGTTACAGCTGCCATCTCTGACATTTGCAGATGATTCCCCACTTGCTCACTCAGACACAGCACGAGGTGAGCAATCCTCAGAATGAGGTTCCATTCCTAGGTATGGAACACTCGAAGCTGCATGCCTCAGCAGCTCTGAGCATTCAGCTTGTGTAGACTCACAGTGAAGCACAACAACTCTTGAATCTAATCTCTATTTCAAGGCTATGACAAGAGTCTGTGCTACAAGGACAGGCTGTATTTCAGTAAAACCAAAGCATTCAGCAGTGTTCTAGGACACTTCAAAGACGAAGCATTTAGAAAGTTAACCCAGCCATCCTTACAAAAACAATGACATTTTGAGGCCTTGAATGTTCTGAGTACTACATCACAGCCTTTCACTTTTCTTAGCTTTTCAACTTTATATTCTGAATATTGATAATAAATCCTTGTAATTGAGGAAATAATTAGAAGCAAATTAAATATCCCCTCTAGTATCTCAATCCACTATATTAATATATATATATATAACTATATACTATATATTACTAAATATTATTTACACTAAGATCTTACAGCTGTAAATACATCAAATACTCTGCAACAAATATCTGCCAAGAGCCTGTATTTCAGCACTACTCTCTGCTGCATGTGAAGGAAAACATCAGAATAAAATGCTGCCATTTCCAGCCCCTTCTCCAGGGCTTCAGCTTCATCTCCCTGCCTCTGAAACCATGGGAGAAACAGTATGTGTATCTCCCTCAGTACTCAGGACCCCAGCTATCTGCTAAACAGCAGTGTCACTGGCTACAAACCTCAAAGTATCCAGCACTCATCAGCTTAGAAATTTGTTCAATTATATGCCCCTCCCAGGGGACATACGAGCAGCCTTGAATTATTTTAAGCATCAATTTTTAGGCTAGAAATTGTTTTGGCTTACAACCTCCGCTATTACTAGGGTTTTTTTACAGGGGCATAAGAAAATTAACAGCCACATATGAAATTAACTGTTATAAAACCAAGTTGAGAGAAATAAGAATGAGGTAAACCACGGTTGAATGCATTTGAAAGATTGAGAACACACTATGGGAATCAGCTGTTTTATAACTGCTGGCTTAAGAGCAGTCAAGTTGAACGCCTCCCCCACTCTGAACTAAGCAGGAAGTAGCCTACTGCTGTGTACAGCAGTAAATTCACTATTAATAGTAAGAGCTCACATACATCCACTACACTTTTATCACAAAAGCCTGAAACAATGGAATGTGCAACATACTGAACAGTTGACATATTACTCATTAAACCGTTCATTCTCACGCTATATTCTTTTCAGTTGTACAACTTGGGCATTACACCAGATTTTTAACACCAAGGTCAGGGCAAAGAACTATTTCTTTACTAACACTGCTCAAGCCAAGCTAAGATGTAAGAATAAGTTGGTGGTAATCAGATCACACTTTCCAGCTTTCCAAAATAAGAGACCTGCATTTTACTATATCCTGCACACAACTTCACACAAGGTTTTCTTTATTTAACTTGTCATCTCTACAGGAAATCCTTTAATCACAGAAGACAACGGGATTTTCTGCGAACCAAGAGGCTGGTTTATTATGATGCAAGGTTTTTTTAACCTTGTCTAAAGCCTGTCTGAGCACACAAGTTGTCACAGAAACTAACTTCTACTTGGGAGAAGACAACACTGGTCACTCAGGTTTCTTTTGATCACCTTCCACATCTCCTCCTATTTTTTGACCAAATTAGGTCATTCTCACAGAGGGAAATATGTTCCTGACTTGACCTGCATTAAAGATGACCTGCTAGTTGCAAATCCAAAACAAAATTAAATTACCTTGTTAATACGTGGCTGTTTAGCAGCAACTGTGCAACAGTTTCCTATTACAGGTCGTAATGCCTTAACAGACCAGATATTCTCTAAAAACTGTCTTTCATTTTAAAACTACTATGATTTTAAATTTCGAGCCACATTTGAGAAATACAAGGCTAAAATTCTAATCCTTGAACTTGTGTTCACTGAAACACTACAGGTATCTAGAGAGGTTTAGTAATCATTTACTGCCAGTGAAATACATCACTAAAATTTGATTCCAGACACTTATTACTGCTTCAACAGTAGATTCAACAAATCTATTTACTACAGCTTACTTTTAATGGTCATTGGCATTACTACTGATTTATTTTTAGTGAGTTTAAAATTGTTTCTCACTTTAATGACCTCGTGTTTGCACTTTCTTTTGCTCACTTAACACCATTTTTCTCTCATTTGTCCCTTCTTTTCCAGTTATTAGTGATCATGTCTTTTCACTCCCACATTCATATTAAAAGCAATATAAGTATTAATATTCCTAACTTTCTTGATAAAAATTGATACCTGTAACTGGACAGAATGTTAAAGGCTCAAACACATACTTCATTTCAGCTGAACACATAGAAAAGCTGTCATTTGAAAGATAAATGTAAAGCAGCATGAAGTGTTAACCCAACTCCTCCACTTCCATAAAGATTGCATAGCCACAGAGAAATACTGGGAAATCACTGTATAACAGACTGAAGAGAAAATGAGTACATTTCAAGTATCTTTTCCCTGTGTTGACAGAAAACTCCAGAAGTTACATTAAAATAGCAGGTATCATAATGCATTTACCAGGGTGCAACCTATCAACCAAAATCAGAAAGAGTAAGCATAAAAAAATAAGCATTGAAGTCAGATGTAAAAATATTCCTCCTTTTTCTTCTGTACTTGCTCAAATTTACTAACAGCTGAACAATGATGGTGGTCTCCTTAAGGTTGCAGGTAAACATTTAGAGAGCAGAAATTCACTTTTTTTTACTTTTCCAACTTAAATTTAATACATGTAAGGGTTCTCTGTCTCCTCTCTGATATGAGGACAAGCTGAGGGTGCTGGTACTGTTTAACTTGGAGAAAAGAAGAACTGAGGGCAACCTTATCAATGTGTAAAAATACTTAATGTGAAGAAACAAAAAAGACTGAGCCAGACTCTTCTCAGTGCTGCCCAATGGAAGGGCAAGAGCCAACGGGCACATTTTTTTCTATAAGATCAGTCCAACACTGGTACAGGTTGCCCAGCTCCAGAGTCTACATTCTTGGAAATACTAAAGATCAGTAAGGACATGGTGCTGAACAGCCTGCTCTACCTGACCTTGCTTTGAGCAGGTCAGGTAGATAACTTCCAGAGGTCTACAGTGAGTTAGATTTTGGCTGAGATTATAGAATCACAGAATATCCTGACTTGGAAGGGAACCACAAGGATCATTGAGTCCAACTCCTGGCCCTGCACAGGACACTTCAAGAGTCACACCACGTGTCCAAGCGCTTCCTGAACTCTCTCAGGCTTGGTGCTGTGACCACTGCCCTGGAGAGCTATTCCAATGCCTAACCCCCTTCTGGGTGATGAATTTTTTTGCAATATCCAGCTTAAATCTCCCCTGACACAATTCATGCAGCTCCCTTGGGTCCTGTCACTGGTCACTGGTTTCTGAGAGGAGATCAGTACTTGCCCCTCCTCTTCCCCTCCCAAGGAAGTTGTAACTGCAATGAGCTCTCCCCTCAGTCTCCTCTTCCCCAGGCTGGACAAACCAAGTGCCCTCAGCTGCTCCTCACACAGCTTCCCCTCAAGGCCCTTCACCATCTTCACTGCCCTCCTTTGGACACTCTCTAACAGCTTCATATCCTTTTTATTTTGTGGTGCCCCAAACTGCCACAATATTCAAGGTGAGGCTGCCCCAGGTCAGAGCAGAGCAGGACAATCCCCTCCCTCACCCAGCTGGTGATGCTTTGCCTGATGGCCCCAGGACAGGGTTGGCCCTCCTGGCTGCCAGGGCACTGCTGACTCAGATTCAACTTGCCGTTGACCAGGACCCCCAGGGCCCTTCCAGTGGCACTACTTTCCAGGCCCTCATTCCCCAGTCTGTACAAATATCCAGGGTTGTCCCATCCCAGGTGCAGAATCTGGTAGAGATGATGCTCCATAGGTCAGGATTGATCAAATTTATCGTCTGTTTGGTAACCTCATGCAGTGACAATAACAGTGGCATAAAACTGGCAACTATACAAGTATACAACTGAAACATACAACTTTTAACTGTCCACAGAACAGACAAAAGCACTGCAAAGGAAGCAGCAGACAGGATCTTCTCAGCAGAATCAATTACAGCTGGAATATAATGCCTAACGACATGGTAGGAGAGGGCAATCACCTGGGTACCTTTTATTTCAAGGAGGAAGCCCTCATCTCAGTCAGACAAATATTGCATTTTTTTTCTGTTCAGTTTGTCTGTAGCTAACACTCAGACTGCATCCCTCGGACACAGGGACAACTGGACCAACTGCTAAACAAGGAGGGGCAAGTCAGAGCCACAGGCAATAAGCTCTGGGAAGAAAACACTCTGGATTCAGGATAAGCAATGTGATACCACCATTCCTAACTACCTGCAGGTTATAGGTGGCAGTCTGTGTGAGGAGAGGTCTGAGCTTCCCTGCGTTGGACACAGCCAGTTCCAACAGAGCCATCAAAGGACAAAAATGAGCCCCTAGATGATGGCATCTTTGGGAAAACATTTTTTAGAAAGGATAAAAAATGCTGCACAGCAGCTGTGAGAGAAGCAAGAGAAGCATGAGAGAAACAGCCCTGCAAACACCCAGGTCAGTGGTGAAGGAAGGGTAGGAGGTACTCTAGGTGCTGGAGCAGATTCCCCTGCAACACAGAGGGAAGACCACAGCAGAACAAATATCCACACTGCGGCCTGGAGAGGAGCTTACACAGGTGGACATGTCCTGGATGGAGCCACAGCCCACAGAGTAGCGGATTCCTGGCAGGAGCTGCAGCCTCTGGGAGACCCATGTCCCTGTGGCAGTCTCTTTCTAAAGGACTGTAGCCTACAGAACCCCTTGCTCTTGAAAGACTGCATCCTGTAGGAAGGATCTGTACAGGAGGAGGGGAACAGTGTGGGGATGAGAGAGCAGCAGAGAAGAGCTCTAGACTGACCACAACTCCTATCCCTGTGGAGAGGACCCACACTTGTCTTCCAAAGTCACATTTTAAAAATCTCTAACACAAGTGGCTCTACCACTGCAACATTTTTCCAAGTGTGTGCTTTTCTTCAAAGAATGACAGGAAGATCAAGCATATCCCAAAGTTTTTTGTTTAAAGATTAATAGATTTTAAAATAAATGCAGAAGGAAAAGGCTTCGCCAGGAATACATCAAAGAAATGAAACAAATAAGATTAGAGCATTACATAATGTACTTTGTAAGTATATTACCAGAATGCATTCAGGTCAAGAAGGTGCAAGCTAGCCTCAGCTTGCATTTTAAGAACTGGTTATACTATATAACTTGACTCGCTCATTTCTTTTCCAAGGTTTCCAGAAAATCTTTAAAATCTGAATACAATCAACATAGCATTTTGTCAGCTATAAAGTAAGTTTTGAGGTGTTTGTGTACCCTCAGTTCAAGATCATTGAGAGGAAACTCGAGCTCCTAACAGAAGGTTAGGAATGCTACAAATCCTCTCACATCATAACCAGCAGCATGACATTATACAGGACCCCCTTGTTTCTTGGTGAATTGATATCTGCATTCCCAGAAGACAGAGCTAATTAAAAACAGCAATCACAACAAGTGGATCTATTAAGACACTAATCCACCTTGACTAAGCTGAAAGACAAACACACAGAGCAGCAGAAACTGTTGAGAAACAGAACACCAGAAGCACACTTACCTAAATTTAAGAAATCTGAGCTGGAAGAAGGTGGAAGTGAACTTTGTGTGGAAGGAATTGTATTTGCTGTAGATGTTGATGTTGGATTAAGGAAGTCCCCAAAGAGGTCTGGACCAGACAGGGCTTGATTCTCTGAACTTGATGACATTGTGAATGGATCAAAAGGATCAGCTAAAAGGGAAGCAGAAAACAAAAGTTAACTCATGACAAATTTTAGAATAAACAAAGTTGAAAAAGCCTTACTCCCTCTGGGGGTACAGACAAAAGCAAAGTTCATGTTAGTAACCACAGCAGCCTTCTGCAAATTCTTCATGGCCAAGAGTCACCACCTGTCTCTTCCTCTAGCCAAATGTACTTCTGCATTGCTACAAAAAGTATCTCAGCCCTACACAATATGAAGAGCTATGTCTTCAAACACAAATCCTTAGTAAGACTGCATAAAATTCAATAACATTGTTAATTTCACCCATTTAAGACACACCTTAAATTTGTGTGACCATCAGCATACAAACAGAAGAATTACATTTGTTAAATGCTCTATAATGCCAAACCTTCAATAAATTTAAAGAAAATGGACTATTATTCTACTAAAAAGAGTATCAAGTAAAACATTCATACTACCATTTAGACTTGAAGGCATTGGTGATTCTGGGGCAGAAAGCACGTCAATGAAAACCAACAGAAGTAAGAGTTCAACAGGTCTCTAGTGCTCACAGTGAAGAAAAACTAATTGGAAGAGTATTTATAGTCAACATGGAGTAACATGTGACAGTCAGCTGGAATCATGGCTTGAGATCTTCCTGTTTGTGCTGCCCTCTAGGGTCAAAACCCTCAAGAGCCCAGGGACTCAGAAGCTGAAGAGAAGGAATAATCCTGCCATAGCACCCCAGCACATCCTGAGGTAATGACATTGTACAGGACTCACTAACACTTCACAAACGAATCCTGGATTGTCACTAAGCAAACCTACTGTAGCACCACACATACATAAAACCTCAAGTATAACTTTGATGTGCAAAGTGAAATATAACAGTGACCAAATATTCTCACTTCTGCAACTATCTTATATAATTCAATTAAATACCTTGAAAGAGAATGAATACAAGAATGAGACAGACATGACTATTGCTCAGGTGTTTCACACAGTAGATATAAGGCATGGTTAGAGAAATATAAAGTAATAAAGCTTCTCTCTTATAGATCTCTACATATGTGAAAACTAAAATGATTCCTCATTGACCACAGTAATGAAGTTCAATAGTGAACTAACTGCCTCAAAATAAAGAAATATTTCAAGTCATCTAAGTGCTCTACAAGAAAAACACTTTGCATTTGTCTGTATATTAAAGCTTTTAGTCCCCATGAATTGTCTTTCCACAAACAAGCTAAGCCTTGTAATAGTTCCCCAGATTATGTTCCCTGAAATCTTACTGTTAACTTCACACAGAGAATTGCTATTCCCAAAAGTTTAGTAATGTGGCAAAGAGCAGATTATCCACTAGTATGAGGAACAGAACACCTTGTTTAAATACCCAATAGACAGCAGTATGTAGCATTTTCTTTCTGGACATTGACCTGTCAACATCAGTAAAACCAGCAAGAAAACATCTTTTACCAGTATCATTATCCCACTGGTTTAAACAATAATCTACAGGATTTCCAGTTGCCTAGCAGTCTTATGTGATTAACACTTAAAAGTCCCACGCAGACATTTGACCTAAGCAGCACAGCTCTGTACAACTAATGACATTGCTTTACATAAAGTTCAAGAAAGCAGTAAGTTATGACAATTCTGTGCCTTAGCAAGAGAAATTATTTACATGTGGATTTAGAAAAGGATCTAGCATGTAATGTTTGTATGGGAAAGCTATGGATTCTTTAAGAATTTCCTTTAAATTCAAAATTTTATACTTTTCTCTTTACATGGTTTAAAGCTAATAGGATACTGGCATCATAACTAAATACCTGGATATTGTACCGGAATTTCTTTCCTTCATGCAGAAATAACAGGTATTCTGTGCAGAATCTTGCTATAGACCAACATGCCTTCACTCTCTGTGATAGTATGAGTACATGATACCCATTTTCTAAGCACAAATGCAAGTAGCAGTTTTCATGTGTTGACTGGGTGAAGAGTACTGATGTTAAATTCACATACCTGAAGACATGGCTGCTGCTGAAGATGTACCCTGAGTAGCAGCTGGATGCTGATTGCTGAAAAAGAAATCTGTTCCTTGTCCAAGGAGATCTCCAGTGGGCTCTACTGAAACCTGTGATGTGCTACTCACAAAGAGATTGTTCAACAAGTCTGCATTACTTGATGAAGAGTTTCTTTCCGAGATAGGTTGTTTCTGTTCTGGTGATATATCAGAGTCTAATCCCAGCAAGTCCACACTCTCTTCAGGAAGAGATTTTTGTAATGATGCAGATGGAGCTTCAAAATTGGCTTCAAAAAGCAACTCTCCTTCTGGAGTAGAGTCTTTTTCATCAACAATTACTGTGCTTTCTTCACCTGGAAATGTAGGGAACTCCTCATCTGAAGGATCACTCTCCTCCCTGTCATCAGACAGTTGAACATGATCGTTTTTAGATGAACTGTCCTCTATTCCACTTTCTGGAGTTTTTCCTTCTTGAAGAGAAAAAAAAAAACCAAATAGTTTTAGATTACCAGGATTATTCTGCTGACTAGGATGAGACAGCAACATAGGAAGCAACATCATATGAAGCAACATCATGGCAACATCATATGAAGCCAATCCCTAACTAATCAGAGCTCACAAAAGAATTGATGAAAAAACAACTAAATGTTGCCTACCACCTCTTTGTACAGGGCAGGCAAAGCAGCAGCTCACTACCACATTTGCCACTCTGCAATGCAGGTATTAGGAATTTTTTCAAAATTAGGCTGACTTGGACATTCACCTCAGATCATTGTGCCACTTACAGTTCAGAAGATCTCTCAGTAACTGCTGCTCCACTCAATGAAAGCCTAAGCAGCTGCTGACATTTTTGCCAACATATCAGTGCCACTGAAAACTGGGAAATAAACTCTCCAACCAGTTTGCTAGATTAGAAAGCTCACATTACTTTATTAGCAGCACAGGCAGGTTATACTCATGAAATTAAAAAACACCCATGACATTTCGTCAATACATGCATATATGCTAATTATTTCCGTGAATTTATTTGGGTCTGTGTAGAGGTCTTCTCAGGGTCTTTGGTGGCTGTTTGGGAACATCCTATTTCCCAAAATTCCCTTTTATGGTCCCAGATCTTATGATGAATCTTCTTTCCTTAAGAATGTCTCAAATATGTGGTCAGGTCATGGTGCACTTCTCTTACCACTCTTTACTCCAACACTGTCTATGTTCTCAAAATTAAGACATCTATTAGTACATATTCATCACTAACGTAAGTAAATAAGGAAGCATTAACTGGCACAAGACTTATTAGTCACAGATGTAGGAAGCTAACAAAAGGCCACACTAATCTCTGGTATTTGTACTAAGCAGTATATAGTACAAAACTAAGGATTAAGCAAGAATACAGGGACTATACGCTATTATGCTAAAGTTAAAAGAATTTTCCAACATCTTCCCCCACTGCTGCATAGACTCCTCTTAAAGGAATACAACTTGTTCGGTAACAGCAGCACCCAGAAAAAGGGGTTACACGTGAACTACAAAGTTACTTTTTCACCGTCCTTAAATACTAATCTGGACCCCACTGGCTAGCATACCTTTTTTCCTCTGGTCCAGCCTAAGTAGGGCTGTGGGAATGCAAAGCTTCCTTATAGACCTTCATGGTTAAGACTTTTACAAGAAAAAAAAAAAAACTTTAGCTCAGCATTTAAGTTATGCTCAACACCAAAACCCATTACTTGGTGTTTATCCAAATGAAGCAGAATGACTGCTTATTAGTCTGCAGAGCTCACTCTTTAAATAGCTTTTCCTCATAGTCTGGTGAATTAGAGACTTTTGCTGAATAAGAAGGCTTAAACACTCATTGGAAGGTATGCAAGACAAACACAAGCCTGGGAGTTACTTCAGAGGAAAACCTGTACCTTTCCAGTCCAGAGAGTGAAAGAAGTTATTTGCATCAGTACTACTGCTGTGTGGGGATTCTGTATCAGTAGGTGCACTTTCTGATGACTGCTCCAGCTGGGATGCTTCTGCTTCATATTGTGCAGTTGAACCTGGTTGTCTAGGCAGCTCTGGTTTCCCTATAAAAACAGAGTTTAAGCCATAACCCTTAAAGAGAAACTTCTCAACCTTCATCATAGAAGCTGATACTTGGCTTGCAGACTGAGTGCCATCTGCAAGTATCTAACGCTCTGCAAAGGCAAATTCCTGTCCACACTCTGCCCTTGAAATTAGCATTATTGAATTTGTTTTGACTGAAAAAACTGATAAGACCTTGTTTTCAGCTAGGACATTAAATCAGACTCATAGCAAAACACTCAAGCATTCTATTTACATTTGGAGGAAAACGTAACTAACATCTCACTTGTACCAACTGTTCCCTAAAACATGTGAAAGCTATGAACACTATCTGCAATAAGAGACAAAACAACAGAAAAGAAGCAAATGCAGCTGTAGAAAAAACTCAGAGTACAAAGCCAGACAAGAACATGGACTTGTTAAGAAGCATCACCAAGGGGTTGAGTAATACACTTGTGTGCTGCTTCTTATATTTCTTATTTTACTGAGATCAGATATTAAGTGACTCTTCTGTAGGACTGAGTCAGGCAGAATTACCTACTGCTAAATTATCTCTCAAAAATGAGGTTTTCTCATGGCAAATTGAGAAGACTCCCTAAATAAGTCGGTATTCATCCACTCTTTGAAGAGAATGGATGAATGCTTCGGAGAAAGCTTCTGGTCTAAATCTGAATACAAAACTGGTAGAGCACTTTTTCACCCTCCTTCCTCATTCTCAGTTGTGGCTCAGAGATGCTGAAAAAAATAGTCTGTCTCAGAAAACATACATGAAAAATCATGATTAATGAAATAGAGTAAATTAAATTTTAATAAGGTAAGCTTATAAAACCAGTTCACAGCACTTGCTTTTGTACTATTTTCTTCCCATCAACTTTAAGAAATTCTTTTAGTGTAACTTGAAATGCTTACATTTCATTTATCCATCAGAAAATGGAAGTGACTTAAGAAAATAAGAGTAATTTTTACAGATCTTCATCATCAATGAAACAGCTCAACTTTACTGACCCGAGAGTTGTGTTTACAGTAGGATTAAACTAAGTTAAATAGAAAATTGTATAAATCATAGTACAAACAAAACATATCCTGATTAAAAGAAAACAAGAACCAGCAACATCTATCTGGTTCTTGTATCAAAAGAAATGTAGTTGAGATGTACCATATTAAAAGCGTAGAGTAAGATCTCATTTATCACTAAAATCACTATAGTAATCTCCATCATGGCTTTTATCCTGGAAACACAGAGAAGGCTTAAAAGCCTGAATGAAAATGTCAAAGCTAATTACTGATACCAGAAGACACTGAATAGCATCAACTAGAATTAATGCAGGCACCTGCAGATGAAGCACTGAATATGTAGTATTAAAATAAAGAGTCTGCTGGAAAAGTCGAGGAACTGAATTACAACATTACTTGGCTATGCCAGTGCTGATAAAAACACACTTAGTTAAGACCATTTGCGAGGAATGCTCAGATGATTTTAAGTGAAATGATACTGGTGCCATCTTAGCCAAATAAAGCTCTTTCAAGACATCTTGCCTACAAATCCTGAGTGTCAAAATTCCATTTGCTAAAATCCCACAAATGGCATATTCATAGCTTTAAAGCAAGCAAATGTAGCCACAGTAGAAGGAAGATAAGAATAATTATAACCCATTACTAGAGAATAATTTAAGTTCCTTCATACAATGCACATTTTCAATGACATTTACAAAAAAACCCGACCTTTTAAATTTATTTCACTTAATGGAACATCAGAAACTAAACAAAAGCCTCAAACGCTAAGTACATTGGAAACTTCATCATGTTCTCTAGTTTTTCAAGGGATTCATTACCAAATTTTGATAAAATCTCTTGTTGTTCCTCTCGGGTGGAGAAGAGGATCTTGGGATTCAGTCCCTTTATATTCATATTCTCCCATGGTGGCTGTTCACAGCTAGGCCTATCTCTGGGCTCCACCTCTACTTCCAGATTGACTTGAAATAAATCAGGATACTTTTCTTGTATGTCACAGGCATCCAGATCATACCTGTAAAGACACATACAAATAGATGCTTGATACTGATGGTTAATTGGATTAGGTCTACAGCAGTACAAAACAAAAGTTCAAAGCAACTAGTATTAGACTTAAAACATGCTGTATTTGTTTACTTTTCCCATATATTTTAAACGTGGTATTTTTGTACATGATTTTTGTTGTAATATGAACAAAACCTTCAGTTTTCTTGAGGTGAGAAAATGAAAGAATCTTATTGCAATCACAGTCATCTACTTCCTACATTGACTTTATTTCTTTCCCCTCCTATATGCTGATTTTTGGCAGCTTAGACAGTTTCAAAGAAAACTTCCTTCAGTCTTCTACAAAGAGGTGTCAACATACTTGGCAAATTTCACTGTAGTGGCATTTCGAGGCACAAAACCTGTGTGGAACTGAATCTGAAACATCTTCATTGAAGCCATCTGTTGAAAACAATACAGGAAAATGGCATAAACCCACAAGAACAGTATGCAGAGTGTTCTGCCTTGAATATAATGCAAAGTATTTTTAGCATTAAAATATTTTAAAGTGTTTGCTTTGCTACAATTTCCATTTAATTCCATGTATACTCATCCTTTGAGACGAACATAAATAGATCTATTACTAACACTAACAAATCAAAATACCTTGAGTCAGATACATCTCATCACTAACCTCAAAACAGACTATCAAAGTTTTGTTTATTTACAGATCCTGTCTTGGAGGCTGAAACAGCATGACCTTTGCTACCTTTCTGAATAACATACACTCAGAAAAACCCACTGTGCAACACACTAATCAGGAAATATATGTCACATAAAAAGTAATTGATTTAAAACAGTTTTAATGTAGCACATTTAAAAGAACACTTCATAAGGCATGCAAAAAGTTTTTTTCTCTGAAAGTTCTCAAGTCAGCCATTTATTCCAGACAGAATTTAAGCCTTTTCTGAGCTGACTCATTTTAATCACTCAACTTTCTCAACTCTTTCTTCTCTTGACAGAAAAGCTACTTTTGCATGCCTCATCAGAATGTGAGCATCCAGAAACTGCCACTACAGAAGATTCATGCAGCTCCTGATCTTGCACAAATCCAAATTACAGCTCACTGATAAATCCAGAACATATTTGTTCCCTAGCTTTAGTTACAACACATGTGAAATAGTCTTGCCAGTCCTTACAAAGGCATATAGTAATAGTCCAGAAAATTGAATTATGAAAGCTTTTCTTGTAAATGAGCATTTATTGAACCTCATAACCAGAAAGCAAGTAATAGGCAAAGCACTGACAGAAGGCTGAGGGAAGTGATCTTTCCCCTTTATTCAGCACCAGTGATCTGTAGTCCTGTATACAGTGCTGGGCTCCTCAGTAAAAGAGAGACATGGACATACTGGAAAGAGCTTCTTTGATCCATCCATCCCTACCCTGAACCCCATATGATAACCTGAACAACCTATTAAATCCATTTTCTCAATCCCTTCCTATGCAAGACATTTCCTACAAGACAAAATAAACCCTCTCTAAAATTGTCTGTGAGGAAGCAGAAGACATTCACAATGCCCAGCTCTAGACACTTAGAGGTGATCTTGAAATGCGATGGTTGACCTCTGTAAGAGTTCTGCAGAGAGGTTCAGGCAGCAATTTACAGCACATAAGACTAAGGACACACTGAATACTGTTCCATCAAACCTCCCAACCCAGATTGTGACTAACACTGTTGATGTGTCACACATTACAGCTGGTGGATGAGAAAATTCTAGTCTTTTCCTATCAGTGAATAAACGCCAGAGAAACACCATGAAAGAAACCCTATCATCAATGAAAACGAGACTGCCCAAGGAGTATAACCTAACCTTAGCTAAATTCCAATTAAATTTCAACAATGTCAGTTGTACGCCTTTTTCCTGATGACCTTGAACCAAACCACAGTTATGGTATGCACTAAGGAATCATTTCACTGGGCTTTCAGTTTTAAGGTGCTCTGGAAGACCTGGGTTAACCTCTGCAACATGACGAGATTTGATACTCACCTTCCTATTCCCAAAGTAGAAAAAACATAGGGAAAACAATCTATTTCATTAATAGTGGATTATGTATGAATATGCATGTTTGTCCCACATGTACAGAAACTGTCTGAAGAACTGTCTGGCTCAATTTCCACAATGCTCCAAGTTATCCAAACTTTGCACTATCCCTTCTTATCTTTTACATGGATTTCCAAGTTTAATTTGAGTTACTTATCTGGAGAAAAAAGAACATGACTCTTTTATAAGAAATTTGAAGACAGGCTTCATTAGCAAGTTTTTCGTGATGTTGCAATACATTAAGAATGGACATACTCAGAAGACTTGAAAAAGCTGAATTCACAAGTGTATGAAAACCTCATGCATTTTTTTGAATAAAGAACAGCAAATAAAGTGAAGTAGTTAGTAGATTATGAGTAGGGTACAAAACTGCAACAAGAAAAAGAAAGTCCTCATGTAGGCTCTTAAATTGGTCATTACCTTGGCTTGTAATCGCCCTCCTAGAGTTGACCTGGCATGATAGATTACAATGAGAACATCTCCTTGGACTGTTATACCCAGTGGAATTACTGCTTTCCCATCTTCAATTTTAAACTCCCTAAAGAAAAAAAACACATAACAATTGATTTTTACCTAAAAAATAATGTATTATCTTATGCTTAGTCTACTTTCTCCAAGCCTTCAGTAGCTAGAAAGTTAAAAGGACTTAGGTATTCTGTCACTTTTCCTGTCTTTGATTACCTACACCTGGTATTGTCAGTACCATTTGCAATTCCCATGCAGACACCAGAGCCGTATAGGGGCTATGAAGCAGCCACCTTACAGCTACCATGCCTGGAGAATCCTTACAGTGTTCATGACTGAGACGTGATTCTCTGTTCAGTGCATGTACACATACCTCAGGGATCAATATTCCTAGTTTTACATCACATGGAGGGAGAAGAGAGCCTTGCTCTCCTCTGCCTTGCAGTGTCCACTGCGATGCCACCCCACCATCACCCCCCCCATTCTGCCAGACCAGATCCAAACTGCTACAACAACAACATTCTCTTCCCCACAATTTACCTTTCAAGATGAGCTAAAATGGGGCAGAGGAGTCTAGAAAAAAATAACATGCTGTTTCAGTGCAAGTTATAAGCTGTACTTACTTCATTTTGTCATATTCCTGGGATGTAGTGGTTACTCTCTCATCTCCCACATAAACTTCACAAAAAGGCCTGCAGCCGTTACGCTGCTTACTGAAAAGTGGAACAGGAGTCATGACAATTGATCTGATGAGGATGGGCTTGCTGTGAGGAATAATGGGTTCTTCAGCCATCATGTCACACATGTATTCAATGTATCTGCCAAAACCAGAAGGTACTCGTTTAGTCAGAGAACAAAATTCTAAAAAATGGGTGAACACATAAGTGAGTTACTTCTGTTCTTATACAGTCACCAAGTAGTGATGAGTGTTAACAGTAAAACACTGGAAAGATTTAACAGCACTTTCAGGAAACATTTTCAAATCTGATACAGAGTGTCACAAAAGGAAAATTAATAGAAACAGAGAAATATTTATCAACTGTAGCCAGCCTCTCATTTTAGGGACAACAACTCAGTTTCTGTACAGAAGCCTGATGGCTGCATCACAACAGAAAAATATACTGCCCAGAAAATTGAATACAGCCTTCCATATGAACTCATCTGCACCCGTGTCCCACATTCCAGACAGCTCCAGTCACTGCTTTAGGTCTGTAGCTTTACATATATTCACTTGTAAAACAAACTAGCCACTCTTTCCAAAGGCCTTAAACACTAAACTACAAGAACTACTCAGTTCATATATTGCACATTATGGATCACTCAAATCTTCCTAAAGGCTTTAAATTTGTCCTCGTTAATATAAATTATCTTGTAGAGAACCCTTTAAATACACTTAAAGTAAATCTGTACAACAGTATAATCTGTCACTTACACTGAACTAATACTTTATTTCTCACCCTTCAAAATTTAATGCTTCTGGTTGGAAATACTCTTACTACCAGTATCACTTGCTATTGAGATTTTACTGTTATAAGATCTAACAAATTAAGTCAAACAGTTCAAAATGTTTGTCAAAGTATATGCAAGTCACCTCTGCAGGCACTCCTTTAAAAAGCACTAGGTATTCTTACCCAATTGACAGAAATAATTATTGGTATTGCCACAGAACTTCAGTTATCTGATACAATAAAACCTATTGTAATAAACTAGGAAACACAAAACCAGTCAAATGTGGCAGGGGATTCATAATTAAGAAAGCACCCAAAACTCTGCATACCCTTGTTTTCACTCCTAACACTTCTTCACTACTGGTCACACTTGAACCACTTCTGATGAGAACGTCATGAGTAACTTACAGGGTCACAAAGCCCAGATTCAGAATTTCTCTATTTATGACACAGCAAAATACTTGGAAAAACACATGTTCCAACACAGACATTATTGAAATTATTTATCTTCCTAAAAAGCATCCTGTACCATATTAAGAACTGAATAACTACTGGCTTCAACAGTACCTCACAGTACCTTTTATGAGAAGGCCAAATGCCAGGTGGACAGCGTTTCATACTGAACATATAAACTGCAGCTTCAGCAGTAGTGAAGAGACGACAGAAGCACAGAAAGGAACAAACTACAACAGCAGACGCTGCTCTTCCATCCTAAAAAAAAAAAAACAAACAGAAGTTACTTTGTTATCAAACCTAGTGGAAAAGGCATTACCCAAGTTACTGAAGAACATGATGTCTCCTTATTTAATGTTATGAAGTCCAAGTCTATGGCCATCACTAGATTTGCAGTTTGTATCTGAACGTTAAAGGTTTTCATTTAATTTCCTCACAATGCAAAAGATACTACGTATTATCTGCTTGCTCAAATATGAAAAATTACTTTAGCATAACACTATTTGAAATTTTCAATTTATCTTTTTTATCTTACTGTCAATAATACGCATTTTTAAGGTTTCTTTCCTGGCTGCTGTTTGAAACTCCAGTTCAGTGCTGTTTTTGGCTGACAATCATGGATTTCTACTATAAGAGAAGTACAAAAATTCAGAAGGACTAAACTCACTAAAAACTCTAGTCTTCTGTCTAAAACTGACTGATATTAATAGTTTGCCATGAAATTAATGGTAGGAGACTAAAACACTGAACCTCTTTCTGCTGGAATCACGGCTGCGTACATATCCCAGATTCATCCCTGTATTAAGAAAGGCAGAAGATTTAAAAGAGGTAAGGGCTGATAGAACAGGACTTCAAGGTTTTTTTTGCTAGCAGCATGGAACAGAACTTTTATCATTCATTTCTGGTGTACGCTTTTCACATCACGTCTGTCGTGCAGGCACATATATATAAAAGTTCCCCTCACAACTGAGGAAAAGGAATGAGTTACGTATCTTAAACGAAACACTTGAAGGGAAAGATGTTACAAAAACTAGTGCTAATTCATCACATCTGCTTCTTTACCTACTTGACCACCAATCACGTGATACTGAGATACTAGGAGTATCACATTAATATAGAATTAGATAGGTAATTCTAATAAATGCTGTGTCTAACCTCACAGCAGCACTGAAAGTTACATCGGTTTTCAGGATCTGATGTTAATTGACTTTTTTTCCTTGCAAAACACACAAGTATGGTTTGTCAGATTAACAAATTCTCTTCTTGACTCCAGTAGTGATATTCCTTATAGACTGCTATACCATATCAAAGGACAGGTTCTGAGTGCTTTCCAGCAGCATTGCAAGCATTGTCACAATTGTGATGGTTCTGTTTTTTACTGTGCAACAAAATTAAGAATGAAAAAATTTCACATGTGATTCCTTCACACAAACATAAGAGTAGCCTTGTATTTTCAAATTTTGAACAGAGTAACTCTTCTTTAAATTCATTCTTCCCACCCCCATATTTGACACAACGTGGCTCTGTAGAGGGTTTTACTGCTTTTTTTGGTTATACCAAGTTAATAACACTTTATAGACCAGTGAAAGTTACAGAGCAATCTGCTGCCAGCAGAAGCAAGTTAACCAAGTATCTCACAGTCAGTTTCTGAAATTCTGTGGCTACAGATTACATTCTAAGTGGACAGTAGTGGGAAATGCAGTGTACACCCATCTAGCACTTGGAAGACAAAAAACAGAGCAAACATCGAAACAGTAGAGCAGATTTTTTTGTCCCAAGGGCTACTTTGTTTTAATGCCTCCTGCATACTGCCTTCCATTCTACATGCAAGTAAGCAAGGGTTACATTACCCTACTAATTTCCCTAAGGAGAAAACTGATGCAAGTAACTTCCCTAGAGACATAGCAGGAAGGAATTGCCCCCAGCAGAGAAAGCCAATAAGAGTCACAGACTAAATGGATACTAGCACTCTTAATCACAACTTAAAGCTCTATTTCAGACTTAAACCAATTTCTTACAAGGCAGTGCACAATGCAAACATTTTTCTGGTCTTGTTTCAGCCACAAATGCATGTTCTTGCATATGCTATAAAGATTCTGAAGATTTGGCGCTCGTCTTGCTGGCCAGCCACATTCAGAAACCTGCAATGACAGAGATGAGAGAGACAGCAGTAGATGTGAGAAACGAGACCACAGTCATACTCATTTGCATAGCATAAGCTGTGCACATAAGAGGCAATTTTACACTTTAATGCCACGTTCATGTTGAAATTAAGCAAGGTGCTCAAGAAAAGTTGTCTCACACAGTGTAAATGCCACTTTATAGGATGAAGTGCAATAAAACTCCAGTCCTGTCTACAAGTCTGCTGCACTAGAAGTATCAACAACTGAAATTACTATCTGAAATATTCTTAGAGCAAGGAATCAAGTAAAACAGCTTTCAACTGTTGTACACATACACTTAAGCAAAAAAAAGCCAAAAAAAACCCCAACAATAAAAAGACTAGGCTTCTTTTTATATTTGTCCTTTATTCAAAGCTCTTCAGTGGTTAAGTAATATTCCTTCTGCAATTAGTGCTACAAAACATTGCCAAATAATCAGCTTCACTACTAAGAGCCTATATCCTTAAAATCAACTGTCCACCAGTGTACGAAACTTGGTCCTTGGTACACTTGCAACACCTAAAGAGCAGACATATTCAAGATCAAGGAAGCAACTTACAAAGCAAGCTTCTCCTATTTGTTTTTAATCTCAACCGCAATTGCCACATGTCAAAGACCAAGTTTTCCTATCAGCAAGATGTTTTCCTACCCAGATAAAGAGTTCAAGGGTTACTCTGTGATGAATTACCTGAACTGATGATCACAAAATACTGATTTTGTACCAAGCACAGGAAAAAAGGCTGACATACAAGTCTTCTACAACATTTAACTGTACTCTAGTATTTTAATTAAAAAAAAGAAGGCAGTTTCAGAAAGCATCACTTTGCAAGAGATTTAAATTGAATGTTCCTTTGTTAGTGAAAGCTTACACAAAGTCACCAGTGAATAAATAAAAGCTAAGACAACAAGTCCTTTATATCCCCACTCACCACAGGACTCAATAAACCTCAAATGTGGGCTTCACTACATCCCAAATATTACAATAGTAGTGTGCTGGTTTTGGCTGGAGTAATTTTCTTCTTAGTAACTAAATGAGGCTGTGTTTCAGCTTTGTACTAGAAACAGTGCTGATAACACAAGGATGTTTTTGTTATTGCTGGGCCGTGCTTACACAAAGTCCAGGCCTTTTCTGCCCCTCACATCACGTCACCAGTGAGCAGCTGGGGGTGCACAAGCAGCTGGGAAGCAACACAGCCAGGACAGCTGACCCCAACTGACTCAAGGAATATTCCATACCATAGGACATCATGCTCAGATGGGGCAGAAAGAAGGAAAGGGGGAACATCCAAAGTGATAGCGTCTGTCCTCCCAAGTAAGCATTACATGTGATGGAGCCTGGCTTTCCTAGAGATGGCTGAGCACCTGCCTGCCCATGGGAAGTGGTGAATGAATTCCTTGTTTTGCTTTGCTTGCACCTGCAGGTTTTGCTTTACATATTAAACTATCTTTATCTCAGTCCAGCTGTTCTCACTCTCACTCTTCTGATTCTCTCCCCCATCCTACCAGCAAGGAGTGATCGAGCAGCCATGTGGGGCTTGGTTGCCATGGGTTAAACCACAACACAGTGAAAGAATCACAATGCAGCTTCGAACCAGAAAAGTATGTGTATTAGAAAACGTAAAAAGTTATGACTTTTCTGGGGGATTTATCATTTACTTTCTACTCAAAGACTAGTTTTATTACAAGATGTAAACAGATGTAACAAAACTACATCACCTTCTGTTTCTTTGGCTGTATTTTAAGCTCAAAGTGTCCTGACAATTAGCAGAATGACAGACAGTGCACAATCTCTGAGCAACCTATTCCTAGCAGGACTCAAAGCTAGCTGAAGAGACTTCAAAGCTACCATTGCTTTCAACCAAGATTAAAGAAATTTATAGAAGTTCCATACAGACAGCATATAGCAAGAAGCCAAGAATATATAATTTCACAAATACATTCTAAGCAAAGAGTCAGAATTAAAAATTTTAGAAACTGTTCTTCTATGATCAAGTTTAAGGGTTGCCTTAATTATCTTTAGGAGGCACTAAAGAAAAAAAAAAAAACTAAGCCTCCTTAGTCCCTGCACGGCTGCTCTCACCCAGCACTGAATAATGAAGTTAGTCAGAATTGCTGGACATCTTGATTTCAAGAACGGGCAGGTAAAATTTTCAAATATAATTAAAGAGTTTGTTTTCCAAGTAAAATAGTCACCCTTAAAAAAAAAAAAACAAACAACCAAAAAACAGAAGACAATACTTTGTAGAAACTTCCTAAATACTCCTAGACAATAAAGTTAGCAGCAATCTACAATGTTTTGACTAGTTATGACCTAACTATTACTACCCAGCAAAACAAAGATAGTAAGACAACATTAACATCAAAAAGATAAACTTGGATGAGAACACTTTCAGATCAATGGTAGATTTAGCTGTGCTTATATTACCATTCATAGAACAGATACATCAGAAATATCAGTGTACAGACACCTCAAACTTGCATAACCAAAAAACCATTTTCAGCATAAACTAATTCCCAGCCACAAAATTTATCATTCCATAAACAGAGATCAACAGCTTTGTAGCATGAGGAATAAATCAGTTCACTACATCAGCCTCGGTAGACTTTCCAGCAATTTAGCACTAAAAAGCACTGCTGAACAATTTTGCTTTGCTACAAATAATCATGTAGGAGGTTTCCTGCATGATTAAGCTTTGCCTTCCATCTTAAATAGCCTCTGCCTGAGCCTCATACTGAACCAGCTGCAGATAAAGCACCTGACTGCATCTATCCAAAGAGGCAGTAATGATTTCTTTCAGGTGTGTCAATACTCGATCTCGTAGACAAGTATACAACAAAACGAATGAAGATTTAGGAAGGGTCTATCCACATTTGTTACAGGCACGCTGGTGGCTAATGAGGCCAATACGAGATAGACACATCCGATTGCAAAAGGCACAGCAGAAAGACTCCTTAGATGGTGTATTCTGCAAGACACGGTTCTTTCTGCGTTGCCTTTTCTCCTCGAGAGTGATCCTGCTGCGTTCTCAAAGGAGACAGCAGCGTTATAGATGGTGTGTCTCCAGGCCTCTCAATTTGAGGCCAGAGTAGACCAGTTATGGTGATCAATATGGCCAAGACTGAGATGTTGTTTCAGGGAGTCCTTGTATCTTTTCTTCGGGGCTCCTCTCTTGCAGCAGCCGGTGGCAAGTTCACCATAAAGCAAGATCTTAGGGAGGCGGTAGTTGGTCCTTCATCCTGGAGACGTGCCCTGCCCATCGCAGCTGTGTTCTCAGCAACATGGCCTCAATGCTTGTGACTGCTGCTTGTTCTAGAACAGATGTATTGGTCACATAATCTGACCAGTGGATGTTTAGGATTGTACAGAGACAGCGTTGATGGAAGCGTTCCAGGAGACGCAGGTGGTGGCGGTAGATGCCCCATGATTCGGAACCATACAAGAGAGCAGACAGCACTATGGCTCTGTAAACACTGATCTTGGTACTTTTCTTCAAGTGTTTATTACGCCATACTCTTTTATGGAGTTTTCCAAAAGCACTATATGCCTTTGCTAACCTGTTGTCTATCTCCCCGTCAATCTTACCATCCGAGGAGATGAGGCTACCTAGGTAATTAAACTGCTGGACTGATTTGAGCTCTGATTGGCCAATGGTGATGTGGGGATGATGGGGGACTTCCTGAGGTGCAGGTTGACGGAGAATCCTTAGGGTTCTCCCTCAAGAAGAACAAGGACTGGTTTGACGAAAACAATCAAGAAATCCAGGACTTGTTGAGGAAGAAGAGAACCGCCCACCAAGCACACCTTGCACTGCCATCCTGTCACCAAGAAAAGCAGCCTTTCGTCTTGCATGCAGCAAGCTCCAACAGAAACTCTGTGACATCCAGAACAAGTGGTGGATCGATCTAGCTGAAAAAACTCAATTATGCGCAGATATCGGTGATCACAAAGGTTTCTATGAGGCCTTGAAAACCTTGTTACTGATTTAGGCAAATATCTTCATTTCAATATCAGAGAAATTGCCAGAAAGGCCAACGGAGGGTCAGCTAAGCTACAACAATACTGAAGACAGTACCAACAGTCAGTCAAGCTGAGTCATATGGGAGTCAAATGGTGTGTAGTGGGAGAAAGTCCAGTGAACAGGTTATGCAAATCAGTCGCCACGTCCTTGATAAAGGAAAGTGGCAGAATATAGGAGAGGCTGAAATTTAGTAAGACTTGAACTACATGAAGTACTCCCCATCTAAATTTGAAACATGTAGGGCACCTGGACATGTTTTCAAAGATATCATTAGCCCAGGAAAAGTGGACTTTAGTCAGAAAAAGATTAGTCTGTAATCAGTTAAATTTGGATTTAAAACTAAAGATAAGCAGAATACAAGTTAACTCTTTGACCTTGTGTTTACACTTATTCTTTTGTCTGTTTATTTTTTTTTATTATTATTCTTTTGTCATCTTTTTTATTAGCCTCCTTGAACATATTTCACAATAAAAAGCTGAAGGTATAATCAGGACATTTTGTTGCAAGATCTTTTACAGAAATACACAAAAAACTATACACACCCTATTATGGAATCTTGAAGCCCTGTATGTTCTTGGAGAGAGATTGTACACAGCATAGTGGCCAGGATGTTTAGAGTCCAGACATAACCGCACATCTTCTATGTTATTTTTGATGGCAGATTCTACACCTTCAGCTGGAAAGGACATCACTAAAGACAGAACAAACAGCAGGTGACATTTTTCATACTATAAGAACAATGAGAAGTTATGCTTAAGAAAAACATAGCTATCATACCAGCAATTCTGGAAGTGATGTATGATATATCCAAGTCTCCTTTTGCATAACTGAAACAGAACACACTAGAGTTAGTATTGGGAAATACAATCATTCAAGCCATAAGTTTAAAAGCCAGGTCTCTCAGGTCACATTCATGACCATGAATAATGTTTCATTTCTTCCATTTGAGGATTGCTACCTCACACTTCAAGGTTTTCAGAACAGGGCCAGAACAGATACTGTGTTTGAACAGTTCCTCAGTTAAATCAGTTCCTCCAAAACCATCTCTGGGATTTTGTAGAGATGCCTTTAATGTTTAACTCACTCCTCTAGCCCCTACTCTTACTGATAAAAATTCACTGTAGGGTATCAGTTTGAAAGCCTAACGAGGAAGCATTAACATCCTAGTTGAAGCTTCAAAGTTTAAAATTATATAACTCATGGCACAGATGGCCATGCTATCCAGTATCTGGATTCCATACAAATAGTGTTAGGGAAATCTCCCTGTCCGATCATTGAGGAGCACTCTGGCAGTCACACTCCCACCACCAAACCGTCACTGCCAGGACTAGAGCCCCTTCACAGTGGGTGGCTCCAGTGAGCCCATGGGTGCCCTGCTTGACTCCCCACACGTCCCACACTCACAGTCAGGTTTCCTCACTGGATTGACCCCAGGCCTCCTATAGAAGAGTCTCAGACTTAAGTAATTTAATCATGATGCAGCAACAGACTCCCCTTGATTCTGATCCACAGGCACTCAACCTTATCATCACTGACCTCAAGTTCTACAAAGAGACTCTCTTAACATATAGAGCCACTCCTCCACCTCTCCTACCTTGCCTGTACCTTCTGAAGAGCCTGTAGCCACCCATGGGAGCACTCCAGTCATGCGAGTCATCCCACCACATTTCTCTGATGGTGACTACATCGCAGCTTTCCAACTGCACAATGACTTCCAGCTCCTCTTGTTTGTTACCCATGCTGCGTGCATTGGTGTACATATATGCATTTCAGCTGGAGAGCCTGGTTCCAACCCCTTCCCCCTTCAAATCTAGTTTAAAGCCCTCTTAATCAGCCCTGCCAACTTACAGGCTAGAGTCCTTTTGCCCTTGCTCGATAGATGAAGCCCATCTGACTCTGACAGGTTTGGTACCATAAAAATTGCCCCATGATCAAAAAAAACAAAATTTCGCTGGTGGCACGAATCCTTTAGCCACCTATTGGTAAAATGGCTTTTCCTACTCCTCTCCTCATTCATCCCTGCTACTGCAGGAACTGAGGCGAACACAACCTACGCTCCTCTCCCATCAACCAAACAGCCCAGAGCCTTGAATTCCTTTTTAATTACCCTGGTACCTCTTTTATCAACCTCATGGCTGCCAATCCAGACTACAAACAGTGGATAATAATCAGAGGGCTGAATTAGCTCAGGGAGTCTCCTGCTAATATCCCTCACCTAGGCCCCAGAAAGGCAGCAGACGTCCCTGTGGGATGGGTCTGGTTGGCATATAGGGCCTTCAGCTCCTCTCAGAAGGGAGTCATCAACGACAACTACCCTTCTTTTTTCTTAATAACTGAGGCTGTGATCTCTTTAATAGACAGGGTACAACTGGGAGACCCTCCAGACAGATCTTTCTTTTGAGTGTCATCTCTTCATACAGTTGTGTATAGCTTTAAAAAGTAGCCTTTTTGAAAAATAATGTCCCAGTGACTTATTTTTTTTTAATTTACTTATTTAGGTCTATTCCCTGCATCTCTACCTTATCATCCACATTATGTCAATAATTTACTAATTTAAGATCACTATTATTTTTTCTTTCTAAGGTATCTGCTATGTAGCTGAATGAAAAAAACTAAAAAAAAAAAAAAAAAAAAAAACAAAACCCTAAAACAACAACAAAAACAAACACAAAACAAAACAAAAACAAAAAAACAAAACAAAACAAACAAAACCTGAAGAGACTCAGTGCCAGGCCAACATCCTTGAGTATAATTATATAGGTCTGCACTCCTGGATTGGCAAAATAAGAACAAACCTCACCTACAGAACTTAACTCAGATATTCCTAACTTAAATATGTCAGTAGGACATTAACTCCAGAACATCAAAATGTCATCACAACACTACAATGCATGTTTAAGGAATGCAGAGTTTCCAACAAAGTTTCAAGACACTACATAAAAGAGCAGACCCAGGATACTGAACTCAAATTTTACACACCAAGAGAAAACATCAAGCTTTGATTTTTATTGCTTGCTAGTAAACATAAAGGAGGTTAGTGGGATTGATTAAAAAATTATTGAATAAAGGACTGTGAGAAGGATTTTAGATAAGGCAAGGACAACTGTTCTGAATGGAAGACTATCTCAAACTGAAATCACCACAAAGAAGGTTGAGTCTCACTAGACAAAGCACTAAAGAAGATTCCTCAGCCTTGAAAAATCTTGCACAGGGAGGTAGACAAATGGTCACTATTTCAAAACACATTGCACTATTGGAAGGACACACATAAGCTCAAGCTGCAACACTGTTGCAGCCAAAGTAATTAGGGCAGAAATTTACATTCAGAGCTAATCATGATTTCTTACAAAAATTAATGATGATTATAGTCCTTCATAAAATTAAGAAGTATCAAATGTTATTTGTTGCTTACACCTAAGAGCTTCAAGCAAGAAAATATGTAGATCTCTGTAATAACACCAACTTTTTCTGATATCAAGATAAAGGACTACCTAATATAACAGCTGAAGAACAAAGAACCTTTATCTCTTCAGTGCTTTAACACCAAGGTTAAGCAGAAACATCAAACAGAATTGCAGAACTATTAAGAGCCAAAAATCAATAGTCCTCACATCCCTTCCTGTGGGAAGACTTTCAGATTCTGACTTCTTACTAGCAACACCACTCGATTCAGCTCCAGTTTTTACACTTGTCTAAATTAAAATGCAATATTATTAGGAGCATGGACCTCACCACACACACATTGCTGCAAGAATGCAGTTTAGCATGTCGACAACAGAGTACAGCCAACTCAAGCATGCTGTTTTGAAGGGGAAAAAGTTGTGTGCTTGTTACACCCAAGAAGTCTCAGAATGTTTCAGCAGTTAAAACTTAGCTTCTAAACTGCAGTACCAGGAATTTAGTTTAATCAATTTAGGCGTGTCCAGAATACATCTAACACACCATGTCCTTAAAGTTCCTTGAACTTTATTCTGAAGATTTCAGATCTATTTCAGTAGTAATACTTGAACACAAGGTTCTCTGTTTACAGTGGAGTGTTTTATGGTAACTGGCATTTCTTTAAACAGCAAGAAGGTGAAAAAATGCTTCGTCACATTGGCAAGCATTCCTACATATTTCAAGATACAACCCTGTAACTACAAATCACAAATAAGGTTTTTCTTTTCATGTTGTTAACAGCAGAAATTTCATTTACATAGAAATGTTGTTGGCAGGTGATAAGAGTAGGAAAGTACACAAACAGACTTGCAAAGAGGGTTTCTGGCCTGTGATTCAATATAGAAAACTCAATGTGCTTTTAAGGCTCTAATTAAGCTTAATAAGAATGTGTAATATGACACTAATATTTAGTCACTTTTCTGATGGTACCAGGCTAATTCAAGGCTTTTTAGCAAGTCTAGAGGGACTGGACTAGACTAGCGTAGTCTCCAAACAGAGGCATGGGGATTTTTCTTACAGTACCTAATGGGGGCCTACAAGAAGGTTGGAGAGGTACTTTTTACAAGGGTATGTAGTGATAGGACAAGAGGGAATGGTTTTAAACTGAGAGAGGGCAAGGATAGATGATAGAAATTCTTCACTGTGAGGGTGGTGAGGCACTGGAACAGGGAAGCTGCAAATGCCCGACCCCTGGAAGTGTTCAGGGCCAGGCTGGATGGGGCTTTGAGCAACCTGGTCTAGTGGAAGGTGTTCCTGGCCATTGCACAGGGGTTAGAACTAGATGATGCTTCCAATCCAAACTGTTGTATGATTCTATGAAATGCAGCAAGTAAGATATGAATTCTCATTTTGCAGAATAAATACCTAAGCAAAAATCAGAAGTTTTAATTAGATGTTAAAAAACTTTTCACTATGTAAATGGTTGGCATTATCAACCTTGCCAGAAAACAGCTGCACCTAAAGACCACAACTAATTAGCATACAGAACAAAATTCTACAGCTGTGCATAGTTACCCTGTGTTATTAGCTAAAGATGAGAAAGAACAAAGAATGACAGACCAACCAGCATAGTTACAATTTGAGTATATCGATGCATTAAGAACCTTTTAGTTTCTTATTTTTCTAATTTTGTAAGCTTTATAAATTTTCAGTCCTTATCCCTCACCCTGTAGCACAAGTAGTTTACACATTCCTCAACCCTCTTACCCTATTCCATGCTCCCCATATCAATCCTACCCCTGAATTCAGTAGAAATGTTTAGTCTCTTGTCAAGGCGAGGCCTATGCTCTTTAGAGAACACTCATATCTTGGCCTGAACAACAGAACACAGTCAAGAACTAGGTGGCAGTGTACCCTTTGTGCTATGAGGATGATGAGAATGATGAAGAGGTGGTCCCAAAAGGTCACAGACCCAATTCCCATGGGGTGGGCCAGGAGGTGGACCAGAGCAAAGGCAACGGGATGGACAAAACTTGGATTGGTCAAGCAGTATTAGAAAATGTAACATCTCAGGCACAGCCAGCACATCCTGTAACATCTATGCCTTGGCACAAATTAAACCCTTTCCTTATCTCACCGTCAATTAACTGCTCCTGAGGTTTTTTTCCTTAGCATAAGCTGCACAGGCATCAATATATACCATTATCTTCACTTAAACAACACCCTCATACTAAGCAATCTTCCTCCAGACATCTCTACACTTACAAGATTAGGAAAAAATATCTGTTAATTAGCTAAGTACCTTTTTTTTTTCCAGTTTATTTTTTTAAAAGCAATGAAGAAAAGCAGCACTGAAATTCACATGAATCTGTTCCCACTTGGTTTTGCTTCATAAAACTGAATTAATTATTCAACTACTTAGTGTAATAGAAAGATCTATGATATTAACATGGCATTAAAGCAGAAATAAAATTACCTTAGAAGCAAAGAAAGCTGGCAATAAAAGGCAGCTAATTATTCCATAGATTACTACATCAGAATCTTTTCAGTGAAAGAGACTGTTCTGACAAAACAAAGGAAGACTGATCATAAGTTTTGAGTGCTGCTTTCAATGCCAGTGAAGATCAGATACTTTAAACATTTAGCTATGTTTTTTTTGCAGGGCATTTGTAACCTGTGTGGATGCAGACCTCAATGAGTGTAAAAGCTGGTCAAGGGCACAGAAGCTTCACAAGAGAGAGAAACACACAAGCGTAACAGAAGTCTGTCTGCAGATAAAGGAAGTAACTCCACAATTCAGAAAACCAATCATAAGCAGGAAGGAGAACCCCTACCTAATGAGATGGCAGACTCCAACACAAGGAGTGCTTAAGCGTGGTGGCAAAGATGTGTGACAAAGAAGAGAAATTTTAATTGGTGCAGAATGTCTGCTTCTTGTGTTGGTTGAAGAGTTTTGGAATGGCACTCAAGCACGCAATAGTAGAAGAGATATTCTCACACCACTGATTCTATCAGCTGTAGCCACAAGACAAGCTTGTAAAGCAGAGAATGACCACGACAGAAAGAGACATGCCCTACAGTAGATGTAAACAAAGCATTAACAATTCAGCTGGATTGAAACATAGTCTATGAATGCACAAGCCCAGTCGTGGGACTCCCAGCAGCAGAATAAATGTTGAATGCCAAAGGACCTGACCCTACCTTAGGTCCTACAGAACATTAAGTACTGGTCATGTTAATTCACGTTTTGCCATTTCAGTGAACTGATAAATACAGTTAGGATTAAAAATACACTACAGGCTTATCAAGGAATGAAAATTACAGAACTAAGGCCTGCTAAAGAAAATTGGCAGATTACAAGTGGAGAGAGTTTCTTTTTTCAGTATTGGTTAAATATTACCTGGAAAATTAGTATTGAAGTAATTGGTTCTCACTAACATAATGACATAGTTGGCACATTCCCTCAACCTTTTTTCTCCATTCCTCAACCCAATGACTAAATTTGCTTAGACAACACAAAAAACCAGAAATGTAGTATGAAGATAGAGGGCTTTACACAAAATCAAGATCTTTTTACGACAGTGTAGAACTTAAAAAAAAAACCCTGACAGTCTCACATGTTCTGTCAGAGGTGATGTTCAAGAATCACTTCAACATAAACCCTCCTACTCCTCCTATTCAACCAACCTAGTCCAAAACATCTGTGAGGGACTGATCTCCTCATGATGAATCATGGAACATAAAATACTGTCTGACAACCCCCTGTCAATCCACCACAGCACATTGCAAGTGCATCCCTCATTAGCTGGAAAAGTCTCTGGACATGGATTTCATTTGGATATGACAGTACTCCCACCCACTAGGAGCTACCAAGCAAAACAAGGTCAAACAATTACACTTGCAATATATTCAATTCTAGTAAATATCCACATGTGACTTTCTGTAATTAGAAAAAGCAAGGGGTAAAAGTAGTGAATTTTTCTTTGACTAATACTTAGTAAGTTCCACAAGCCATGCACTAAGCTGTTCTGTTCATCAACAGAACACTAACCAGCAACTTACAAGTAGCACACTAACTTTAAAAATAAGATAGATGTAAGACTTATTTTGGGCAGTCGCCATAATCTAAACCATTGTAGAGAAAAGCACAAGAACCAAACAGAATCTTTCCAGACAGCAAGCACTCACTGTCCAATACTTCAGAAGTTGCTACATGAGCTCTGCAGATGTGGTTGGATATACAACCACCGTTTTCTTCCTTGCACACTACACTTACTAAAGAAACAAAGCAAAAAGCTACACACATATGTTAGGTAAGATAAATAAAAATAAGGTGTAGGCACAGCATAAGCCATTCCATATTAAGAAGACAATTTTAGACAGTTCTAATCCACCACTAGAAAAGGGGAAAATGGCACAACACCAAAATCAAAAAATTATTAAAACTTTCAGTAGCCTTTAAGGAAGAAATCACTTGCAAGAGCAGGAAGAGGAAACCTCTTCAAACATAACTAAGTGATGGAGGTCCAACAACCCAGAAAGTCATGTGGAGAGAAGAGTACAAGACACTGAAGTGCAGGAGTACTTCAGAAGCACATAGCGTACAATAAAAATACAGTATCAGAGTAAGATCTAATATACAACCATGGGAAAGTAGGGCTTATAACTTTGTCAAAACTACGTTTCATCATGCAACAGTTTGTTGCCCTTGTACACCTCCCTATCTTGAGTCCACGTGGTTTCCCCAGGGTGAAAAGTTTGATGCTGTTGTCCCAATTGCTTCTGTAGAAAGCTTAAGGACAAACCAAAGCTCCACCACTTTTGCAACCTTTAAAAAAAAAAAAAACAACAAAGAGGACCTGGCCTTTTTAAACCATGCATAGGAAGTTTAAACAGGCTAAGTGTAAGAGCAAACAGCTAAAAAAGCACTTGAAGTGACCATGAAAGTGCAGTATCTACAGATCTAACTTACCTGAATATTATAAACACTTTAGAGGAGTACTGTACACAAGTTACACACAGAAACTGAAAAAACCCACATGGCGAGCAACAGACTTCACAAGCAGTATCTCAATTAGTATCCCAATTAAAGGGGCACAAAGCCTACAGTGAGGAACAAGGTTCAGTAATCCTTATGAGGCTCTACTTCAGACATGGTACTCAGTAGTGACTTATCTGTTCCTTGTAGAACTAAGAAAACCCTTTAACACTGCATCAAATTTTATTATGAGAAAAATATATAAATCATACAGATCAATTAATATTGATCATAGAGAAACATTTGAAATGGGGCTGAAAAACCTGATTAAAAAAAATAATCACACACTAGGAATCTGAAAACATCTAAACAGGAGAGCATCCATCCAGGCAATGCAGGGTAAAGGAAACAAACAGATCCCCTCACACCGTCTTGAAGGCACAGGATTCTACCTGAAAGCTAAACTGAAGAGCTTATTCACTATTTCTCTGCAGGTTTTTTCCCCTCAGATCCACTCTCTTGATTTGTACCTTTCACCATTCCATCTTTTTTTCTTCCTCTCTTATTAAGAAAGGCACTTTCTAGTAATTCAATTCACTCATTTTGCATCATGACAGTCCAATTCCATACCTCTCTGCCATGCTCCAGCACCCACTTGCTCATCTCTCACAAGCTTTCAGGATTTAAAATACAGTAAGGCAAGAAGTACTTACAGACAGGCTTTTGCTGCAACATTCTCAATTCTAGTATATGACTGCTAAAGTAACTTTTGTATCAATATCATTCATAAAATTTCAGGGGCTGGCTACCACCTATTAGAGCTCAAACTTGGAAAGGTATGCTGAATTCATCATTTCTGAAGTAAGCTCCTGAGTCTTCATTTAGAACTCTTAGCAGAACAGTTGTTAAATTTTTATTTTTTGGTTTTTTTTACTCACTTGGCCACAGACTGGATAACTTTAGAAGATGTATCCTTAATATTAGTGAAAAATCGCTCTGTTCCACCCCTCAGAATATCAAAGAACCCTCCATAAGTCTGGTCACATTCCGCAACGGTCAGGCCTAGAGTAGTTGAATAAAAATAATTGTACTTTATTATGGGGCCCATTCCAGGATATGACTTAAAGTACATTGCCTGCAAAGCTGGAAGTGAATGTACATGTAGGCTACACCTTGCTGTAAGGCTCACAGTTTTAAAGTTCTCCTTAACTATGACCTATGCAGCCAGGAAGTACTTAACACATTGTTTAATTTGCTGTTTGTATTTATGAGAAAACAAGATTAAAAAATTCTGAAAGTAAGGCATATGTTTCATATTATCAGCGCGGTAAAATGCTGCCTTTTTTGAGTATCAGTTTCTTAAAGTGCAGCTTATTATTAGCAGATCTACTTAATCATCTCTAATAGACACATTTTAATGCAGAGCTTCAAGAGCAGCTGGCATAGTTAAGTTACTTTTTAAGCACAGCATCCCAGATAGCACAGCATTGCAGCACAATATCCCTTTTAATATGACTGTATGCAACAAACAGCAGCCATTCTTGCATAAAACAGACTGACCAGACTGACTTTTGATTACAATTACATTTGGAAACTGGATTCTTCCACAGAAATTAACATACACATGACATTACTACAATAAATATTACCCAAATTTAAAATTTCCCCTGTAAAATTAATAAATTTTGTTTCATTGACAGTTCAGCATTATTAAAATCAATCAAGAAATATCAAACTAGAAGGAAATTTGAATACAGTATGAAATATTCCCTTGATATCATCTACATTAATTGTAGTGTTCCATATTTACATATGATAGTTAATATGGGTGCAGAAAGAACAATAAGAACTTAGATGTAAATAAGCCTGTCAAACTGTTTGTTTCTTTACTATTTAAGTATTTTCAATTGCATGTACTCTGGAATACCCATTTTTACAGAATGGCTATGTAAGCTTTTAACTGTATCATTTTGGAGATGTGTTTTGGTTGATCTAATTTAGTTCTGCTAGTCCAACCTATGTTTTATCTCAGACAGAACTACAACTCCTCCTCCCCACCACTGATGTCCTATGGTACAACTTCAGGTGTCCTGCAGTCCCTTCTGCACAATGCTCCCATAATTAGCTGAGCTCATGGGAGTACCAGCTATAGCTATTTCTGAAAGTACTGATGAGATAGCCAATAAATTGAATTTAGGCTGCTGCTTTTTCCCTTTGAGGCAGTCAGACATGAATCTTTTGGAAGTGACAAAACTAAATAACTTTAGACTATGGTCACTGCCAGATACACTTCAAAATACCACAGGGGGTCAAAAGTCTTTTGGGGCAGGAGAGAAAAGGAGATGGATGGATCTCAGATGCTTATGGAAGTATTTCTTCTTCATAGAGGCTTTCTGCAGGCTAAACTAAACACACGTGTGAGGTCAGTGACTCCCTAGCATTAATGAACTGCTATGGTCCATAGGCAAAATCCCTGCAACTGCTTCTGCATTTATTTATTAGGCTACCTCAGCCACTAGACACAAAGCCCATTTTAGCAAACAGTTACAGCAAATGCCACAGAACAGCTGCCGTCTTTTTAAGCTGTAACCTATCTGATGTTAAATAGTTCCTCTTGGAAAGCAAAGACACCTCTCGCCTTCATAAACCAAAGATCCAAAGTTGTGCACATACTCAGGATATGTACTGATTTCAGTAACTTTTACCAAAAGGTAAAAACTTTTCAATTAAAATATAGCACTCGGAAGATAACAGTTTAAATTCAAACTCCTCTTATATGCTGTTCTTTACACAATGCACTTTCCATTATTATTGCCTCATTGAATCACAAAAGTTTGGGATTTAAAGGAAGCCACTTTTACTTGTTTGTCATAAGCTGAAGACTACTATTATCTCTACAGCTCTTGTTCTTTAGAACATTATTGCTTCTTGTATACACCCTTTCATCAAGTTTTAGTTCACTTATGTCAACACTCCTGCCTCTACAGGTCAATTACGCATTTAAAATTATTTTCCACGGGAAACCTCATTTTTATCCTGCCCAGCAACAAACTTGAGAAATTCACATCTGAATGTTTCAACACACAATCAAAACTTTGCAAAAAATAAAACAAGGTTAGAAGCAATTATATGAATGTCGAATAGCTAGTGCCAGAGCAAAATATCCCAAACCCCCAAACGACTTTTTCTTTTCCATATGGAAGATACACACCTGTCTTTACACTAAGATGACGCCTCTCTCTGCACATACCTGCATTGTACATGTTGTTGAGTTGTCCCACGGGCTTGGAGCTCTGTGAAACAGAGGTCACAGATGTCCGAGGCTGAGCATTGTTTCCATAGCCTCCATTTTGCTCCAGGAGCTGAGGAGATTAATGCTCACTGTGAGTATTTTCCTGATAATTTGGCCAACTTGTTATGCTTTGCAAATTACTTTTACTGGGTGAGAACAAGCAAACTGAACCTCAGGAGAAAGCAGGGAAGTTAAGATACTTGCAGTGCTGTGCAAATTATGTACTGGACAGGAGACATCCAAGTGGGTTTCAAGTTAGTGTAGGTAGAGCTTCCATATACTAGATTTATCTGTGCAAGTTATTTATGATTAAACACAGCATGTCAAACAGAGCACTAGCATAACTAAAGAATAAACCAAGAGAAAAAGCAAGGGGTAAAAGTAGTGAGTTTTATTTTGACTTAACTGAGTAAGTTCCACAAGCCATGCACTAAGCTGTTTTGTTCTAATAATAAGAATGACAATTGGTTTTCTTTAACATCTCTGTGCTTTAAAAGCCACATTTTCAAGGATCCTACAAGTGATACAGATTAATTCAACTGCATTTCAAAATAAATTAGTGTGAATTTTTAAAAAAACTAAGGAACAGGGGACCTGCTCTGCAATCTGTTAATAAATGCACATTCACTGGAGAAGAGAGGACAGAAAGAAAACCCAATCAATAATACTCCTATGAGACATCTTTACCTCTGTGATGGGGGATTTAGGATTGACATTCCTAGCTGCTGCAATCTCCTGCAGCTGGTTCACAAGTTCAGTGATTGACAGTCTCTCATCTGGGTTCACCTTCAAAGTGGAGCCTACAAAAGGAATTCAGACAACATAAATTCAAGGCCTTTCTCCCAGTTGATATTAATTTCTTCAGTGTATAACAGTGCAAGAAGCAAACAAGTGAACAGAATGGAGCAACTGCTAAATCCATATCTAAATATCATTCTCATAGTAGGTATCCACGAGAAAAACAAAACACTCATCAGGATTAATAATATTTCAAAGAACACACTTCAGCATCAGTTAATGAAAACCACAGAAGTAACTTTGTGTCTAATACTGTTGGATTTTCATATCTTTTTGGAACTGTAATTAAAGTTTCCAGTAGTCTGTTTTGAAATTTAAAGAAAAGAGAATTTTTTAAGCAAGTTCAAAGAAATCAAATCAAAATCCTAGTTGTTCCTATGCACTAATTCAGACCCTAAGCAAGACAGGCAACAGAACTAAAAAAGCAAGTTTCACATCCTAATTTTTTTGATAACGGATTAAAATTATTAAGAAAACAAGAATTTGTTGCAGTTCACCTTTTTTCACCATCACATGTCAGTAACATTCAACTATCAGTAATACAACACTGCCAATAGTAACATGTATCCATAAAGACACGAAATTAAATAACATTGCAAACTTACGAATGAGATCATGAAACACAGAATAGCGGGTGTCATTTTGTGGGATGACATATTTCCCATTGACTATGCGAAGTTTAGCTCCATCTTCGAATGGATGTTGCCTAAAGCACAGCAAGTACAGGACACAGCCCAGAGCCTACCAAGATAAACACAGAAATACTGCATAGAATGATGGAGTCATTTAAGCTGGAAAAGACCTTTATGGTCCTCAAGTTCAAACATTAACTCAGCACTGCCAGTCCACCACTAAACCATGTCCCTCAGTGCCACATCTACACATCTTTTAAATACCTTAAGGGATAATGACTCAGCCACTTCCCTGGACAGCCTGTTCCAATGCCTGAGAACCCTTCCAGTGAAGAAATTTTTCCTAATATTCAATCTAAAGGTCTCCTCACACAACTTGAGGTCATTTCCTCTTGTCCTATCACTTGCTACTGGGGAAAAGTATTCCTGCCTTTTTTTAAAAAAATCAGTTAGAAGCCATTACAAGAAATCCATTTTATGGATTTCACAGTATACAAAAATAAGTAGTCTTGCAACACTGAATGTGTTCAAGAACAGGACTGTCCTTACAAAAAGGTTTGGAAGTTTTATTTCGTATCTTCATCCTGTGCTGAAAGGAGACACATCTAATTTGTGGGGACAGAATTTGGTCTTTTTTATTTTTAACTCAGGTACGTGCTGTTATGCAATACAACAGCTAGGTGAGCAATTAATTGTCAAGCAAGTTGTTTAAATGACACTAGGGGGACACAACAGCATGTCTAAAATGCATCTTTCGGTAAAGGTTTGAAAAAAGGAAGGCCAAAATGACAGTTCCTTTATTCCCTACAGTGAGATGAGTATTCAACTCTTGTAACAAATAAAATTTAACAGACAAGTTCATTCAAGCTTAAAAAAAAAAAAAAAAAAAAATCACAAAACTAAGACTATCACATGCAGGGAACTTCGAAGTTCCTCCATGTATCCAATTGAGACTTGGGCAACCTGGAAAGGGAACAACCTACACAGGCAGAATTCACTTTTGAATTCTCATCTCTGAGTGACGCAGATGTTATGGATTAGCTGGGATAACTGCATCTGTTTACTGAAGCAAATGGAAGCTGATACAAATCTTTTCAAATAAGTTAGGGTATTAAATATACTTGCAGAGTTACACAACTGTAATAGAAACACGTTCCATTCTCACCTATAGAAGTTTGATAATAAGTCATCCAATACTTCCAAGCAACTGTTTGCACAATAGTTTGGAAAATTCCTCTTCAAAAGTCTCTTCTGGACCCTAGTTAGGTTGTTTAAGCACATGGGCTTTTATAGTAGCCCCCACAAATAAAACAAGCCAGTGAAGACATTACCTAAGAAAACTGCTTACTCTCTCCCATCCTCTGTGTGCACCATCCCCAACTGTCCTTGGCTGTCAATTTATCCCAAGAACAGCTTCAAACATCTGAAGTTATTGGAGTATCAAAGGTTTGAGACTTAGTAACTCCAAAACACTTACTGAGTCTCTCAGTCCAGGGCCAGAAATAGAGTATATATGTTAATTTCATACATTCTTGCACATTTTTGTCAGTTTGTTGAAAAAAAAAAGCTCTCTAACATATACACACTGAGGCATCACACAGTATACACTAATTAATCCAGCAGGGGAATACAGAAGGTACCATCTACTACCCCAAAGAAGCATCTGTTTACAAAGAAGTAAGGCAGATCATACTTGAGAAATTGAACTACTCCCTGCGTAGTCCAAGACACCCTGCACATCAGAAGGCAGCAGGGGAGAAAAGCACCAAGGCCATCAGCTGGTGCTGATTACTTCTACACACAGGAAATGCAGAGGCCACTTAGATTTGATCTTTGCTTCAACTGGTAGAGAATGTTTTTCATTTCCTCTCCGTTATCTGTAACGGAGGATTGTAACTGTGATAGATTTTGGATATTTTAAACACCAACTGCCATTCAATTTGGCTAAAAGGCAACTTCAGTGGCAGCCACCATTCACACAGCCTCAGCACTGATGCACTTGACAGAAGGGCCCATTTCCCCAAGATGCTGTCCCAAAGCTGCACAGTACCTGTAGAGAAGTTGCCTGGGTCAGTGTGAGCACTCACATGCTAAAAGGCAAAAAAAGCAGCACCACAAAGTGACCAAAAATAACTTTTGACCTGAAATTGGGCCTTTATCAGTAGCTTATTTAAACCGTCCTCAAAAAACAGTGGGATTTTTGGAGGGTTGAGGAAGTGTTCAGGGAGTGGGGGATGAGAGTGGGCAGTGGGATTGTTTGGAACAAATAAAAATACTGTTATTTCTCCCCTGACCAGCTTCAGGCAACAAGCAGCACACTTAAAGAGTTCTACAGCACAGATGCAGGATGACACAGGTATTACACCAAAATACTTTCTGAGTTGAATTAATCTACATAAATTCTAAAGGGATTGTTCAGCTCACATAGAATTAAAACCTGCAAGATATCTTACACTGACTAGGAGACTTTTTTACTAGATATCAGTAATGAGAACCCAACTTTGAAATTTTGCTCCTTAAGCTCTTTTGCTTTTTCAGAAATCTTCAAGAGTGGGTGGGTATGAAGCACCTTTCAAGCCAAAAGATAATTTCATTGAACAAAAATCGTTATAAACGTAAAACCTGTCACTTCAGTTGAATTTCAGTTCAGGAAATCACATTAGTTTTGAAAACCTCTGGATTTAGTGTTTTTTTTTTCTGAAGACCTCTAAACTTAGGTAGGAAATACAGAGAAAGCAGTTGGCCACATCTAAAGAACCTCTGTCTTATAATCAATATCTAATCACATTTCCATTGTGGAGTCAATGTGGTTGGTAACCATCTTTCATCTGTGCTGCTGTTCTAAGGAAGACATTACTTCCTTCATGTTTTTAAGCTCACACAGTGACAAGCACATAGACTGCAATCATGAGTATTATTCACTCTATCTGCTCTCTTTGGAAAACTTCTTTGTTTATCCTAACCACAAACTACAAATCATTTATGCTTCCTGAGGCAGGGCCATATTCTATTGCCAAATACTTTGCATATTTTCATTGAAACCAAAGCATAAAGAAGAAATACAGAACATGTTCCAACAAAGGCATGGTAAATGGAATAGATCTTCCAAAAAAAAAAAAAAAGAAGAAACAAACAACATGTTAATACTAACAGATACAGAATTATTCTAGTCAAAAAAACAAACTGTAATTGTCCTTTTCAGTGAGGCTTTTTTTTAGATAGGTTTCTAGCTTTTTGTTTAACTGGATGTAATCCTGGCTCAGATTGCCAGTATTTCATGCATGTGAAGTGACCAAATGGTCAGAAAAACGTATTTTGCTTGGTGTTTCTTCATATGCCACAAGAAAATCACCAACAGCTGTAGAAGTTGCATAAGAGTTTCCTCAATATCTTGTAACTAATTTAAGAAACTGAATGCAGTTATGAAATCCCAAATAAAATTTCTAAAGCACCAGTATTACATTTTCTCAGTCTGTCTTTTGGCACACTGCAAACACAGGTAACAACTGAACAGCTTGACACCCACCTTCATAAAAAACATCCAATAAACTAAATCCCTAAGCATAATCTCACTGGGGAGCACCTTAGTGCTGCAGAGTTATGCAACTGGAAAAGGTACAACTGAGGATTTAACAGTTACCTTTAATTCTGGCTACAGATTTTTTTAGTGAATGTTAACAGTTTACCACACTTTCTGTACAAAGCATGAATGACCTCTGCATAGTTCTCATTCTTGCTACCTGTCAGTATTTTACCTAAATGCAATACCTAGACATAACCATTTTGAACTTGCCAATAGGCTGTCCCAGGATTACATGCACGGCGCAGCACAAAAGGCAAGAATTTGAACCTAAGGACTCAACTATTATGGGTTTCTAGCAGCAAGCTCCAACTAGGCAACAGTTCTAATGAATGCTAAAGAAGTTCATCATTGCCTCTCACAGTGGAAGTCAAGTTAGATCTGGGAGAAAACCTTGAATACTACATCTTGTTCTTTTAATATTTAGATACAGAATTCATACTATGTAAGTTTGTTTTGATATAACATACTACTTCAACATGTATTTTGGTGCTTTTATTTACTTAATCAAAAACTAATGGCAAGTCTGCAAAATCAGTTCCACTATGACATAAGCAGCTACAACACAGCAAGAGAAAAAATTCTTACCCAAATGTCCTGTTTTTCACCAATCGGAAAATTTGAATACAAGTCTATCATCTCTGGTGTTCTGTACATTGGCGTTGTATTCCTTGTGATCTGCAGAAGACAGAATTTATTAGAACAGAATCTTGAATAATAAGCTTCTTCAACACCATTCAACCAAGGAAACAGTTCTCCATGTAGAACAGATTGGATTCCCACTTGGAAAATTAATTTCAGAAAGACCTTGGCAAATTAGAGGACTGGGCAACCACCAACCATATGAAGTTCAATGAGGGGAAGTGCTGGATTCTGCACCTGGGATGGAGCAACCCTGGATGTTTGTACAGACTGGGGAATGAGATGCTGGAAAGCAGCACCACAGAAAGGGACCTGGGGGTCCTGGTTGATGGCAAGTTGAATGTGAGTCAGCAGTGCCCTGGCAGCCAGGAGGGCCAACCCTGTCCTGGGGGCATCAGGCAAAGCATCACCAGCCAGTCGAGGGAGGGGATTGTCCTGCTCTGCTCTGACCTGGGGCAGCCTCACCTTGAATATTGTGGCAGTTTGGGGCACTGCAATATAGAAAAGATATTAAGCCATTAGAGAGTGGTCCAAAGGAAGGCAGTGAGATGGTGAAGGGCCTTGAGGGGAAGCCGTGTGAGGAGCAGCTGAGGGCACTTGGTGTGTTCAGCTGGAGAAGAGGAGACTGAGGGGAGAGCTCATTGCAGTTACAACTTCCTTGGGAGGGGAAGAGGGGGAGGGACAGGCACTGATCTCTTCTCTGTGGTGACCAGGAACAGGACCCAAGAGAATGGCATGAAGGTGTGTCAGGGGAGATTCAGGTTGGCTATTAGGAAAAGGTTCTTCCCCCAGAGGGTGGTTGGGCACTGAACATGCTCCCCAGGGCAGTGGTCACAGCACCAAGGCTGACAGAGTTCAAGAAGCATTTGGATGATACTCTCAGGCACATGGTGGGACTCTCGGGGATGGCCCTGTGCAGGGCCAGGAGTTGGACTCAACCCTTGTGGATCCCTTTCAACTTGGCATATTCTGTGAAATACTTGTCAAGGCAACAGACATCAACTGAATCCTGAAACAGTCACAACAGCTTGGATACAAGTTCAGATGAAGACAGCAGTACTCAAATATTGTCACAAGAGTCCTTTCAAACTGCAAAACACATAAAACAACTATTCTACATGAGGCAAAAAGGTATAATGATGCAAACACCGAAAATCAACAATTAAACAAAAAAGTGAATTCAAGCTGCTGTGTGTACATCTCATTTTTTCATCTCACTTACAGGCAGTTCAGACACATCCAACGAGTTAAGCTCTGGATCCCTGAAGAGAACTTTTCTACCTCCTTATTGCATTGATTATACTAGACAGTGGTACAACCTCATAATTTCTCCAGAAAACAGTGGATTGCTCTCCAGGGATGCCAGATTCCAAAACGGAGGAGTTTACAGAGACTCACAATATCAGAAGTTGCATACATGGATTTTAAGTGTCACTGTATTTCTCCTGTTGATGTATTACATTAGATTTACCAGCATTACTCTCAACTAAAAACAAATGCCACCCTTGAGGCACCGCAATACTCCCTATTCATATTATGCTGAGCAGATTTACCACTTCTTTATATATCACTCAACTGAAAAAAAACAGATAGGAAGGTAGGAGTCACTCTGGCATAACCAATTTCTGACTTCTGGTCAGGAATGTAATTTAAAAAAGCCGTACTAATGACTTATCTTCACACCAGACTGCAGAATGGACACAAACCATGTTGAAGCAGTGCTTGTGTATGTAGTTACAAAACACAAGCTATGATTGTAACTGTAGGCAGTGTTTCAACTCTGGCAACACAAATACAAAACCAAAACTTTATAAATAATACTGTAACTGAAGTAATCTTCAGGAGTCCCATTAAGCAATATCAGATTAATAGTAACAGTTAATACACTGCTGATATTAAGACTAATCACATTAAAACATCTCACCTCTTCTTCAACCAGTGATCTCTTCTGTGCAGACCAGTTGTAGTCAGGATAGTAAGCTATAGTTGTAGCACTACCAAAGTCACAAAGTTTAATTGTCCCTTGGTTACTAATAAGCAAGTTTTCCACCTTCAAAAAGAGATAGGATAATAGATTAAAGATGTTTTCTTTCTGTACACTAACACATGTGCTTTTACATATCAGGTTACTTGTATAAGTAAAAACTACTCACTTTAGATCAAAAGTTGTTTACAGGAGCACAGATTTCAGACAGTACTGTAGTTTTATAGCAATGTAGCCAACTTTCAAAAGGAAGCAAACATACCATGAGCAGGAAACATTAAAGAGAGCAAGAAATAAACCCCAGGGGAAGAAAAATAATTTCCGTAGAGCCTAAGAAAAGGCCAGTTTTTCAGAGAAGCACTCGTAGAAGCAGTGTCTTGGAACCCAAATGTTTTCATGCCTCAAACTGAACACTGTTAGCTTGACTGCAGTGGAGTGGAGGTTAGGACTACCGCAGACACAAAACAGGAAGGTATTAGTACAGAAGCAGTCTGCTAGGAAACACCCAGAAAGAGGCAGCCATGACCCTGTGCAGAGACAGAAACTGGCTATTTGAGGACCATGTGCTGCCTGAATCATCATCATCATCATCCCTGCCTTCTTCTATTTCATAAATTCCCATCTTCCTGTATTTTTAAGCGAAACGGGGAAGAAACTTAAGGAAAGGTTAAAAGTAAGTACTGTGGAGTCAATCACAAAAGGGCTGAGAAATAAAATTTGTATCCCTGCACACAGTTAGGAAAAGGTGTAAAAGTTAAGAGGCATATTGTAATATCAGAACACCACACTTCAGATAAGTAGGTTTGTCTTCCCTTTCCCTCTGAAGCCACTTCATCTCCAGACTAACTTCCGTAAAACCTCAGTTTACAGAACATCCTATTAGCTCTCCTAACACATGCCCCTTCCAACTTCTTCCATCATAAAATGAATTTTGACTGCCCTGCAGGAAGACACAAGCACTGCTAATGATGTGGTTAGACTATGAATCCCAATGAGCAATCTGAATTCCCTTCTCTGTTGGATAACCTTTGCTTACCTCTATGTACAATAAGAAGGGTAGGCATTCAACACCAAATTAAATTTATACAATAAAAATGGTCACAGTATGACCAGAGATCAAGCTCCTGTGCAGGTGTGTTCTTGATTTTGTGCTTTGATAAAGGTTGCTAATCATATAAAGCATTCCAGCTGATTATTGAGATTTTAACAGGCTCTATGACCTGTGTTTTGCAGACTAGTTGTGTACTGCATGACAAATCCTGAAAAGATGAAATTCAGACAATTAAAATATCACAAAAGCACTGATATTTTACAAATCACCCTCTAACCAGCTTTGAATTTTTATAGCTCAGCAACCGGCTAGGCTCTTTCAGTGGTGAACACATGCATTTTAAGTGCAAGTTTTATCCAAAGATCTCAGGAACAAAGAATGGACCACACTGACAAGCATGAGAAGGAAACCACAGGAGGACAGAAAAAGCCACCACTAGAAAGGTAAACTTGTTTTTAAGCTGCACTGTAGAAGTTCATATTTTTAGTCAAACTAATTGAGAAAAATCTGTTAGAACTCCACCCTACCACACCCCTCCCCAAAAGTACATATTTGAGGTTGGCTCAAAACTTTGACCTATGGTTTCTGCACTGCTGGTCTTAGTTCAGCCTTCTAGAAAGGGTGGCACAGTTAAATGATCTCTGTTTGGCTCCTGACTGCAGTAAAGCCTCATACTACTGCCACACAACTATCACTCTGCTTTACAGCTCCCATAAACATGAAACCAACAATTCCAAATCCCTGCCTTTTTCCATGTTTCATCTCTGCCAGGATCTTACATTGCTTAAGAAAAAACAGTCCTTGAATTACAATTACTTCTATGGAGTTGGCTTCGTAAGAAATTGCATATTTATTTGCAAGTCGCTTTTTTACCTTTTTTTTTTTTCCCCAGAAAAGAGATGCACCTTTTCTACAAGCCAGGGGCTGGTGTATGGAAATTTCAGTGAGGAATACAAGATTTTATTTTAGAAAGTAACACCAGGAAAGTTCAATCCAGACTTGGTTAACATGTCTATGACATGACATAGAACTCTATTCAACGGTACCAAGGAAAAAAAAAAGGAAAAAAAAAAAAGAAATGCTCTATCATAAAAAAACCTATGCTTCTGTTAATGGGCTACACTAGTGTCTAGCAAACCTTTCAACAGTGTTAAAAGCACTTAACACACACTTATTTCTAAAAAGTGGTTTCATTTTCCTTTCCCTAAAATGATTGAGTATGTGCTTACTTATGAAGGAACAAATTTTTTTTTTTTATATTCATCTGAAATCACATCAAGCTGGAAACAGACATATGTGTGAAATTCAGGCACTGCTTCAGGAGCAAGAATCTTCTTTCTCTTATTTTATTTGTTTTTACAAAAGTTTGATACAAAATATTTGTAATACAACAGAATCTCACTGATTATTAAGGGCTTCTTCATCTAAGGTATAGGGAACATGAAAAGGTGAACTCCCATCTTCAAAAATACAAAATTCCAACTCAGATGAAGTCCTTTCAAATCTCCAAAGCTTCTAAGGGGACAACACTTTCTAGAGCATAGCACCATAGAATCTTGGGAAAGGCTAACAGAACAAAAATACTAAGAAAAAAATCTAATATGGATTATGCTTACCAAATTTTAAAATATGAATTAAAAAACGAGCCCTAAATTGCAGTGCAAGTTACTTATTAGTTATGTTAGTTATTAAAACTAACAGCTTAATAACATTCTAAAAGGCAACGCAATCTTTTACAGGTAATTCAACATTCTTCTCCTTGAAAGCTTTACCTCTTCTACTTAGACCCCTGCTCATCCCAGAACTGCAATTCACAAGTTGTAACCAGTTATTTTATCAGCAAACCAGGGTAGAATACTTTTCTGTCAGCTTGTTTGGATGGATTAAAAGCAGTCCTAACCACGAGCACAAGGAAATGATATTTGAAGAGATGCAGGTATTTCAGTGATGACCTTCACTGACACTCAGCAGTGGTGGGAAGGCAATACATGTAAGCACTATGCTCAAGAGCATCCACTGTGCTGGGTCAGGAGTCTCTACACTGACCCAGCCCAACAGCCTTCTTTGCTGTTTAAAAATTCAGCATTGTAACACACCTTTAAATCTCTGTGGATAATAGGAGGCTTCTGCTTATGCATATGCTGCACTGCTCTGCAGGTCTGGTAAAAGATCTTCAAAACTGTGTCACAGGAGATAGGTCCTTTGGATTCTACCTTCTTTAGGAATTCCACCAGCTGTCCTGCAGGAGATCAGAGAAATTCACATAAGCACACAGAGAACACTGCAAATTCTGAAAGCTTGGCACAAATAGACAAATGCTCCACTTGTCAAGAAAGATTTACTGTCTTGAGTTGCATTAAATAGATATTCTGAAAATGGCAAATGCACACTGACTGCAGGGACAAAAGAAATAGTGCTTTAAGGAACTACTCCTACTCTTCCTTTCTTTGACTAGTCTCAAACACAAAAAACTTAATAATTACCTCATATTTAAGACAAGGTTGAACTGCAGTCTAGAAAAACATGATCTTTATCCTATAAGAGATAAGGTTTAACTCTAGGTCCACTGAACCATGCTATCTTCAAGAGACTTTCATAGTTTTTAAGTTATGAAGAAACCTGTGCAAAACAGCTGTCAGAAGCAACGTGCACTGCTGGGAAAAGAAATAAAATTTACCTTTACACAGCTCTGTAAGCAGAAGAAACTCTCCCTGCCCCGTGTCTGATTCTTCTTTTCCTATAGATGCTGCAGAGCAGAACTGGACAATGTTGGGATGACCTGAAAGTTTTTTCTGGAAGCAGCATGTTCAAGGAAGATGACTGCCAAGTTTATTGATACTATTGCATCCAGCAGTTCACTTGAAATGCTAGCTTAAAGCCACAGAAAGCATAACAGCTGCAATTAACATACTAAGCAAAACATTGGAAATCCATGCCTCAGCTGTAAAAAAACCTGAGAAAGTCGCACAAGCTAATGTAACAAAAAGTCAAAATAAAATAAAGTCCTTGTGATTAAGGCTCTGAGGAAACTGGACTCCATAACAGGTCTAGCTACTACCTTTTGACTTTGACGATGACTGCAAAGCATAACAGAAGTAGCAAAGAAACTTTCTATTTATCAGCTGCTTCTCTAGATGGCTGATCAAGAAGGAAGGGCTATTGTCTCCTCACCTATCCAAAGCAAGTATTAAGTATGCTGTGTTTCAGTTTTAAGTACCTAAAGTCAAGTCCAAAAGAAACAGAGGTCTAAAAGAGCAAGGAACTAATCCTCCCATCATCAGTAACAGTTCTTCATGGTAAAACCGTTGTCATGTTTCACTTCCAGTTCAAAAATTCAAGGCATCGTTTTTGAACTATGTAAAGGCAAGTACCATATAAGCAGTCTCAGTTCCTGACAGTGGAATTATGCCTGTCTGTGTATCACCCTGGTCATACACTGAAACTCATGCCCATGAGACAAGCACACACTATTTACAAGATGAAGAAAAAAGCAAAGATGATGTAAGTGCAACAAAGCAATTAAAAAGGGGTAAGTTGGTTCCACCAAATTAGAATAATTCCAACATTATGCATCTCTTCACAACCTTCTATTCAGAGCTGCAGGAATTATTTCCATTTCACAGTTCTATCTCAGAAAGTTAGCAGCAATTAATCCTTGCTCGTGTTGTACATGCACTTTAATGACTCTGAGCTGTGAAAAACATCCAAAAAAACTTTCAGTTCTTTACCCTTGGCAAGACAAAGTCGGAGTAGCTAGAAAATATATGCTGTGGTAGTCTGCTCTTGCAGGCATATTTCTAGTAAATGGTGTTTAGGGTAAGATTCTGCCAAACATACCAGAAATCATAAAAAGAAATGTTTGAGTAGTTTAAATTAAGATCAGTGGGTTTGCCTGGTAATTCAAAATGAAACTGGATACTCAGAGGGGAGCACATCAGCATACCACAGCTACTCACCGATGCTGGGGAGCAAACATTGAATTTACTAAAGTTGAGGATTGAAAACACTCTGACATTATACCCTCTACTGTCTAACATCACTGAAAACAGAATGGACAGCAACGACACAGAGAAATGTCTGCTTCTTGTTTCTGATGCACGTAGTCTACTGTAATTCCTTCCTTAATATTCAGCATTAAAGCCAGATGCATCCAAAGCAGAAATTAATAGACATTTAGACTAAAAGCAAAGAGCAATAAATCCAGTGCATGAGAGGGAATTCTATTTAAGTATCATCTGAATAGTCAAAGGACCTCTTGACCACATTCACAGGACTGCAAGAAAGCCCAAGTAGGAATTTCAATTGCTAGAAGTAAAAGTGCAAAGTCTACAATAGCTACAAAAGTTTTCTGCACACATTATGTTGCAGCAATTTTGTAAGAACCTACATTGCTGGATGTTGGTACCATATTCATAACAAACCACGAGTCAAACCTCCCTTGGAATGTCAGTCCACTTGGACAGTGTATGGCATGGAAAGAACAGAATCTGTATATTCCTCCTTTTTTTTTTTTTTTTTTGGTCAGAAATGTCTGATATCAGGCAATGTTTGAGAAAAGGATACCATAAAACAAACTTCCTGAATGATGGCTTTGTTCTTTTCTTCTTCATTAGACAACAGTCGCTGTCAAAAAACAGAATAATTGAGAAGAGAGTGTTACTAAAACTTACAGAATAACAGTGCATGGATTTTTTTTTTTCCACAGAATACAAAGGATAAGCTGTAATCAAAAACCTAAGGAACTATGATTGGGCAGTAAACAAAGCTGGCTTATTGTACATTTTGACATTCTGCCATAAATAACACTCAATTTTCCTGGACTATTCAGGTTTAGTGATAATTGAGCAGCTGTAACTTTTGACACTCTCAAAAGTAACCACTTTGACAGTTCTCTATTGTAAAAAAACACTGAAGTCTCCTGGCTACAGCATTGTGGACTAACAAGGGAAGATTGATCTTCTGCCTGAAACCTTCAGTAACAACCTTCAACCCACTCTATACAAAACTCCTTCCAATTACGTAGCCCAGCTTTTTCAATGGTTATTGACTAATCAGCAGCAGAGTCAAGCACTACTTTTATCAAAATCACTTGGATTTGGAGTCAACATTTGGCTATAATAAGCCTGAGCACATTCTATAAAAGTACAAGTTTCACAGAACAGAGGAAGTACAGTAATGGTTCAGCTTTTATCTGTTATTTTTTAAGGGGGTTACTTTTGGAAGACATTTTGAATACATATAATATACGGGTTTGGTCACATGTTTTGCTATTGTAGGATGTGGTATGAAAAGAAAAAAACAGACAAGTAACTACTGATGGTATAATGCCATCTTACCTCTCCAACACCTCATATTACCACCCTTTTCACTCTCTCTCTACAGCCACAAAATACCCCTTCTTCAAAAATTAAGCTTTTTTTGTGGTGAACATAACCGGCATGATTTACTTTTCAGCAAAACATGATAAAGTAAATGACTTCACTTTATTCTCCTTCCCAAAATACTTCAGTATTTCAGTTGTTTACAGCTGTTTATTATAAGCATTTAGAAAACAAGAATCCAGAGAAGTGTCTCTTAAAAGTACTAGGCTGAATGTTTAATCAATGACTCAAAGTGTGGAGCACTATTTTTAACACTCAGAAGACTTACTCTGAATGTACAAAGGTAGGCTAAATCTGCTTCTGAGGAGAGAAAAATATTCCTGTACTCCACTCCAGGTAACTAGAAAATATTCTTTTTACCCAAGCAATAAAATGTCTGGGACAAGGTCATGAATTTCTGGACTAAATGAAGTGGCACCTACCAGATGAATTCCTGAGTGTTGCCATCTAAGTATAAAGTGCAGCCTCCTAAGAAAAATGACCCTTCTAAACAGTGTGCTACAAGCATCATAATTATTCTGGATTTTTCAAAATTACTTGTTCAGTGGCATACATAAGCAATAACTGCCATGCTAGAGCATCAAGCTAAAACACAGACCTTATAAATCTGCAGTGAAAGAAATTAATATTACCTTTAAAGCATAATCTTTGCCACTTCCAAGATCTTGAGCTTCATAGACAAAAGCAAAACCCCCTACAAGAAGAAGACACATTAAGTCAGTTTTAATTTCAGTATTCAGGTACATCATTCTTTTTAGTATAACAGAATTAATACATGAATTCATATACTTTTCCAAATGTAACAAGCATACATATTTTCAGTGGCTTGCCAGGAGTGCTGGTTACCTACATCCAAGATTCAAAATATTTCATTCTTTTCTTTTACATATGCCAATAGCACATTGCCTTTGCTAGCTTCCTGCATTTTTTTAAGTCTGCATATGCAGATTTCCTAGGAAGCAATTTTTTTTTCAAAGGTCCTTGTAAAACCAAGACCCAGCACAGCCACTATTACCCAATGACTTCAATTAAACTTCTTGGTATTATACTGTTAGGCTTCCTATAAAAACAACCCAGCAATAATCAAGGGAGATAAAATTCAAACATACAACTCCCACTCTTAAGATAATTGCCGTGCTTCAGGCTTCATGTTAAAAACAGAAAGCGTTTTCAAACACTAAAGCACACATTTCCACTGAGGGTGATATTGTTACTAAATTGCAATTTGTTATTCTATACAGCATTATTTTCCTTCCAACTCCTTTTGTCAAAGCATCTATTTTCTCAAACACTTCCACTTTGCTCAAGAACTCTGTGCAAACTTCTGCAGAGTAAAAGACTCGGAGTTACAGGTTTGCTAAGTTTCCTCATTGGCCACCCATGTTAATCTAACTATCTAAAGAACATATTTATAAAATTCTAATCTATTTTTAAGACTCCACAGTATCATTTCCGTTTCTTCTGGGAACATCATCCTTGTGGCTACACCAACAGTGTGGTGTATGCTGTCCATGGCAGAGTATCTTTAATAGAGTAAAAGCCAAAGTGACAAACTTCAATTATTTGCCTTCCTACTCCTCTAGCACAAAATCTATTTTCACTGAACTACAAAGCAATGTTCTCTCTCTAGGAACAATTTGGAGAATAAGTACAGAAGATACCAGAACTACAGAATTTCACCAGTCAAAAAGGGAGAGAACAGGACAACTAAATAATGAACCATCGCAGAGAAGAAATAAGCTGACAAGGCACTTTTTCAAAAAGATGCAGAATCCAAATCAGTACAGTCACGTTAGTACCCGATACCTTCTCTGTAAATGAGAAATATTAACATGAGGCTGAAGTGAACACAGTTATTTGTTTTGTGCAATTTAATCAAATACGAGTCTTTTCAAGAAGTAATCACAAAAATTTTACATGGCCATTGAGCATCACAGTGTTCTCCAGGACTCCTGAATGGTTCTGCCCATACATCTTCTTAATTTGCTACTAGCATCCACAACGTGAAACAAACAAATGACAGGTTCCTGGATACTGTCTTTGCTTTTGTGGCTGCAGTTCAGCGGTGCCATACATTACCCACATTTATCCATTTACCATGATTCATTCTGCAACATCAGGTTTGGCACTTCCCACATTAGGAATTTCCCCTAACTTTTTTGAAAGGCTCTAGTCCCAATGTTCTCATCAGCAATTCCAACCAGCATTTTGGGCATGGATGGGACAGGGGCTGGAAACAGAATGAAGTTCACAGTTACCAGCATCTCAGAGCATTACCTGAAGACACTTTGCTCCTCTCTGAATGAGAACATATGCAAGAAAAACATGGCTCTGGAGAGCTCTGATCAGTTTGGCTACTCTTTATAGATTTAATAGAGGTGGTGAAACAAGGAAGAGAATCTGTGAGTCATCCTTCCACTGAAGGCAGGTGCTGGGAAACCTTGGGTTTCAACTGGTCTCCCCAGCCAGCTCCTTATAGCCACCCAGAGGCATTCCTCAGGTTTCAGAGTTTCCTGCCCCAGTGAGCTGCAAGCCCCTACACCAGTGTACACCAATCACTGCACCACAGAGCTACTGTCTCTGTGTTTTCATCCTACACAGATCCCACAGACCTTCTACACAAAGTACTGCTGGCCCTACAGAAGTCTTTACATTCATCTTAATAAATATTTCAGTTATTTTATTCTAATAATCCTGCAAGCTGCACCTTGAAAATATATGCTTCAATTTACGAAATTAGGGCCTTCAGGTCAGCACAAATTTCTAACACAAAATTACATCACAGTTAGTTTTCTGGAAGGCATTCAAGGGCAAAGTGGTGACAGAGGAACCCCAGAACGGTTGTTCTGCAAGCTCAGTTCAGCTGCATACACTGTCAAGGATTCCACAAGGGCTGGAACAGGGCAAGTCTACTCTGCATCTCAAACACACACTTTTCTAGTACCTGTATAAATACAAGTATCCACAGACCTACATCCATGCACTCCGAAACACAACCATGCTCCATACAAATGCATCAAATGTCCTCTTGGAAATAATACAGGTGAAAGCACCTATGAATCAGAATTAACTCACAATCAATTCAGTCCACTGTTTTCAAGCATATCCAATTAACAACCAAAGTGATCCAAACTTTTAAGAAGACCCCTAGAAACATTGCTACCTTTCCAACTACTTTACCTGGTGTGATAAGCTTTCCTAGAAGCTCTTCCTCCAGTGTAAGAAATGCTTACAGTACAGACCAAGTTGCACAATAATACTAAGCTGAATCCTGTTGACACTAAGTATGAAGGAGCAAAAGGAGGAATTCATTTACCTGACTAAAAATGTTAAAGTAGTCTTCAAAAAAGTTGTATTTCAAGTTTTTGTGAAAAGTCCTGATCATCATACAATCCTCCCAAAACCCTGGACATATTCCTAGGTGCCCCAAAATTTCCTCCCTCAATCAGAAAATAACCTTGAAATTCATGCCTAAAACTCAATCACATTTATGAAAACAACTCAAGTTCACTTCTTGATGGAGAAGTCTGGGTTTTTAACAGAATCATCATGTTACAACCAACTCCGAAGGGCTTCTGAAGATTAAGTTATCCTTTTGCATTTAAATTAATCTCATTTCCAACCAAAAACCTAATTTTAGTCCTCTTCATTGCTAGCTAGGAATCTAAAATTTTATACTCAGCTTCATGACTGCTTCAAAACATACTGGTAGTTAAATTTCAATACTCACTGCAAAACATAAATGTTAATTCTGGCATAGCATTGCAAGTGAACATTGCACTGCAACGCTAGCAGTGAAGCAAGTAACTTGTAAAAGTTACAAATTCTTGTTATCAACAGAAGTTAATACATGCTCTGTCTAGGCTAAAGCGCAGATAATTAACTTTCAGTGAAGCACAACTGATTTTCCCTGGACTGAAACTGGCATACAAAATGTCCAAACTAAGATTTCGCTGAGATCAAATTTAAACCTGGCAAGACTCAACTTGTGTTTTAGCAAAATACTTAGATCAATTACTACACTTTAATAGGTAAGAAAAGGCAAAGTAATGAAGAGAGTCTTCTTTAAGGCCATTTCAATGGTAGTACATGTTACCTGAGCTCCTAGCACAGTAGGATCCCACAGTTTATACAGACATAATAGAATAGTAAGCTGAAGGGAGAAATGTCATTGAAATAGCACTAGCTTGAGAGTAGATAAGTATCTTAAAAGATGCATTTTTATTTTACTGATTATACCTTAAATTCAAGTATTGAAATGCTAAACTTTGCAGAATTCCGGAGAAAAATCAGTGGTATCATGTGTTGTTAATTGTTACTTCACTGCGGCTGCTGTACAGAGAATCCCACTCCTAGTGCCTACAATCTCATCCTTAACAGCTATGCCACTTGAAAGTAATGTTTTGAGAGGCAGTTTCCCATTCTGCCATTTTACTGTTTCACCTGAACACAGTTCAGTTCCATACAACACTGCTCATTCCATGTAACGTTTGGCTCTCTACTACTGCAGCACTACAGCTGATACTAAGTTTAAATTCATGGATTTTCTGGGATACCAAGGGAGGCAGAATAAGTTGCGAAGGTACTTCTAATTTAGATTTGCTTTTTAAACCATCTGTTATTGGTGAAAACAACTCTTACACAAAAGGCAAAATTAGTCCTACTGCTTCACTCTTAGATCCAGTTTTACTTCAGGTTTGATGCTGGCTCTCTTAAAGCAGTTTTAATATACCCTCAATAGAGACAAGTTTACTGTCAGAACTTCTCCTCTGCCATAACAGTTTACTCCAGGCCTTCTGACCAATATGTTTTGCAAAAATGGAGAGGAAAAAAAAGGGGGAATAAAAAGCACTTTCAACACAGCTGTACAAACAAACACCTGTATAGTGGACAGATGAGGCAAATGATAAAGTGAAAGTTAACAGTATAACTTCTAGAGGTCTATAAGGAATGTAATTACATTTGGGGTGTTTTCACTCATTTTTTTTCACTCATGTAAGCATCTGTAGGTGGTTTTAAGACAGTTTTCTGAAGCTTTCTATATCTGCAAAATCATCTCAGTATTTCCCCACACAGGTAGCCAGTGCGTATATACGTACACACCCATTCCAGCTCTTGCCCCAAGAGACAGGTTTTGCACTGCTGAAGCATTTCTGAGCCCCATTCTCAGAACACAGTCCAAGTACTCAAGAATGGTCTCCGACCAATATTTTCTGCCACACAAATTGTGTCAGAAGGAAACTGTTTCTTTCTTTTTCTGTAAACACAAGCTCACAGATAAAGGTTCACTACAGAGCACCACACCAACTCATGGAAACAGTGTAGCCAGAGTACTACAGTCAGTCCTGGAAGCAGTCTTGCTCCGCAGCAAACCTGGAATAACAAGGTAACACAAGAACACAAAACTTACCAGCCCGACCTTCCTGCCCCACACTGACAGCCCTTTGCATCAGGAACCAGCTGTACCTCATTTGCTTTTATAGTGAGCACTCTGCACTCATCCTTACACCACCACAGCCCACAGGCATTGTTCCTGACAGTACTTCATAATTCTCTTACAAAGATTAGAACATCCTTTCTGTTCTAACCAAGAGACTTGGCTTCTCCCTCAAGTTAAACCCAGGCATCCCATAATACTGAATAATTTCACTGCACTATTAATCCAATTGGATCTTAGACTGTTCTTTTTTATCC